CCCCGTGCTGAAGGATGTATCAGTAAATAAAGTTAGTAACTGTCCTCCAAAGCAGTTATTCTAAGTTTAATATGGCTTAACATTTCCTACTCCATTTTCAGCACTGAGAATTTATGACACCTATGTTGGACTGCAAATGATTAGTGAGATAAAGGCAGGTCTGTGGGTATGCTGATGCCCTAAGAAGAGTGCATAGTGCAGAACAAAGAAGGAGGGCTGGAAATCCTGCACAGCTCAGTGCGCACTGGCTGCTCCTGAGTTCTGGAAATTCATAGGGTGAATCTGTGTATGTTATATGGTTGTAGCAGGTACAGTTTAAATAGGCACTTCAAGGGAAACTACTGGATGAATTTTGGTAGGGTTGTGATAGAAGCCGTTGCTCAGTTATTTGTGAAATCAGTAGCCTTGAAAGACTGCATATATTCAAAATGAAGGTGTTGTGCACTCCTGAGCCTGAGTACAGCAGCTGAAAAGCTTTTGTTCTGAACGTCCACTGAGTTTGTCTCGTACGATACACCAGGGACAATTCAACTTCATGTAAGTCAAGGGAATTACATTTGAATGTTTCAAATTTATATATTTTTTTTCTGTAATTATTATGCTGTTATTATAAGACATAATTCATATTGGTCTCTGTAAGATTTTATCCATGTACAATTGTTAGAATCAGATGTTTCATTAGGCACAAAAGGTTTCTACTCTCAGGAATATGGGATTAGAAATTTAAGTCAAATTGTGCTATGGGTTGGTCCTTTCAGAAAAGATCTCCAAAAAAGAAGATGTGGCCAACAAAAAAAAAGAGTCACTACACTTCCAAGCCCAGAGGCTTGGAGGAACAATCCAAACAGAAGCCAAAATAAGCCAACAAAAAACAAGCACACCCTAAACTCAGAAAATATCCAAAAGCGTGAAGTTCAGGCAGCACATTAAAGCAAAAGAGATGTTCTGTGAGCACCTTGGAAAGTGCTGTATGTCAGTAATAGAGCTGGTGGGTACAGTAACAATGAAGAAGTACGAACTGACTGATGCACTCTTATGTGAGTAACATCTACCATTAGATAAAGTGATGGATATTATTTAAAAACAGCAGTTCTTCTCAGGAAAAGACAAGGACTTGCTGATGTGAAAGACGACACTGCCACTGTGCAACAGAAAGACTGCACATTCCAAACTCCTGGAGAACACGGACACACCAGGCTTGATGCAGTCCGGTTTACAGCCAGTTCAGTGCAGTGGCACACAACAAAACACTACTGCCAAATCCAAAAAACATTCTTCAGTCATCAGTGTGGTGTTGCCACCTACCGGATTCCTGCAGCCACAACCAGGTGCTGGCCAGAGAGCCCTTTAACAAGAAACAAACATGAGGGAACATCATTGACTTCAGGACACTAAACAAAATTCAGAGAGGAGTCTGTTACTGCAACCAGGAGGGAGATCTCAGATCTCTGAGGGAGATGAGTGCCTACTGTTGAGAAGCTCAAATTTCACTGAGGTGGCTAAATATTTTACTAGCTTCCATGTACAATGCAATGTGTCTGTGACTGTTGCCCATCCTGTTAAGCAAAGACCAGCAGGCTCCTCTGTGAACTGTCAGATGCCTTCACCACGCACTGAAGGACACCAGACAGCTCCTCCTGATCACTGTATGAGTTCAGGAGGAATGCTCAGATAGCACGAATTATTCACAGCAACACTTTGGTAACCACCAGCTCTGGGACTTCATTCTCCTATATCAATACATGCTAGTGAGCAAAAAGCCTACAGATGTTCCAGAAAGCTCAGTGATGTGCGAACAACACACTGCTCTTCCAGGACAACGAAGTCTGAACCTCATCTCTAAAAACATACCCAGCAGGCTGTACTAAATAGTGCAAAATAGTATGCTGGCTATTACAAAATAGCAAATAGCTGTGTGTTTTTTTTCTTTTCAGAATAAAGCAAACAACTGATCACACCAAGTCACATCTACTCACTCCAGGGGTGCCTTAAAGGTGCTGGTTGGGATTTTTAAGGTGCGTCATTGTGAAGGATCCACCTGGGTAAGCAATGCTCTTTTTCTGTCTGTGTGACTAAAGAAACAGAAGGTCAGAGCCTCTTTTTCACTTAATTTGGGATTTGGATCATTGGGACTGCAAAAGGAGAGCTGTCAGCCTGTGCTCCAGAGCTGTTGTGTCACTCTGCTGAGAACAGCATACAACAGCTATATTCATTAAGTACTGGATAATCTCATTTCTCAGTATTTCCCTATATATGTACTGAAAGACTAAGAAAAAAAAAAGTTTGTGCATTTCTAATCAGTAGCCTGATTTTCAAGGTCTCAGTTATCACCCATGCACACTCTCTTCACCTCTTAGAAATTTCTGAGTGCTGAGCACTTCCAAACAGAAGGCCAAAGGAAGAGGGCACATTTCTACATGAAGACTATGGAAGATCATTTCCAGCAAGTATTTGAAGGATGATGTAAAAAAGATACAAGCATAAAGACATTCTGAGAAGGTGTGGACAGTTAGGACTTTTACCAGCATGTAAATGCTTCCCGCGAATGCTTTATAGAAACCTTCTGTAAGAAAAAAAAAAAAAGAAAAAAAGAAGGTAATCTGCATGCAACTCACCACTCCAAGATAGCTATACTTGCTGTCACTACAGCACGGGGTTGCAATTAACAACAGTTAACTCTGCAACACAAAACTCAGGATGCATGAAGTGCAAACAAAAGCAGGGAACAAGTTTGTATGCTATCTGTTACACATGAAAGGAAAAATAACTTCAATATGTACTGTAGCTGTTCAACATGGAGGGAACACAGCTACTGCACAGCAGCTCAGGCAGGGCTGCAGAGGAGAAAAAGTATTCTGAGAACACAAGCAGGATTCCAATGTCTTTCAATGTTGTTACCATCTTTCAACATCTAAAAAAATAAATTAAAACCATCTCTAAAGATCTCAGTATCAAATAATAGATTTCCTAACAGAGAACAACTGCATTCTTTCAACAGAAGTCCACAGAATCATGGAACATCCTAAGTTGGATGAGAGCCACCAGGCTCAACATACAAAAGCAACTAGTATACGTGGGTTATGGACAATTGAGAATCTGCAGTAGGTTGGAAATCTGAGAATTAGGCTTTTTTGGATCTTGATTTATGAAAGCGACTGGAATCCTGGCAGTGACACAGAAGAGTGAACTTGGCTCACATGGCAAATAAGTCATCCCTTTCAGTTCATTAATTCAAACAGAAATTAGCCAGCAGCATTGGATCCAGAACTAATACTGTTAGGAAAAAAAGACCTAAAAGAATATTTCCAGGAAAGACTTTCAAAAAGGACTTCCTATTGAGTTAACAGTGCCTTGAGCCAGAAAAGAGAATTTACAGGCAGGCTGGAACAATGAATAAAATACCAGCATTCTGTTAGGAAGCTGAGGTTACAGTTGCATAAAACTTTGTTTTGACTGAGAACATTCAAAGGATTCAAACATTTGGAGCCCTCAACCTCAGACAAGAGCTCAAAAGCTCTGGCTGAAGCAGAGATCAATCACTGGGAAACCAGAGGCTTGGCAGCATGAGACCAGAATATCACTACACTACTTGGGTAGAGGAGCTGCACTGAAGGGGCAGGGCTCTGAAGCTCAGGCAGCTTCAAAAAACACCAGGGCAAGGAGGCCTACAAGATGGGAGTCAGAGGCAAATTCCCACAAACTGTACTGCACTTCTTTAGGTGAAAACAATCAATGCTGATCAACAGCCCATTTTCTGCTCTGTGACCAGGGAGCCATGTGAAGATGCAAGACAGCCACACCAAACCACAAAAAAGTGTATTATTTGCAGTGTAATAGTAAAAACTTGCATGATGTGTACTAGCCAGCCAGAAAAAGAACAAGATCACACGTGGGCTCAGGACCTATGGAGGCAAGAGACTTATTCTGCTGTTCCTATTAATCAGTCACACTGAAACATCCTCATGCTTTCACATGCATGCTGCAGCCTAACATCAAGCTTGATCTTGGTCCGGAGAAGTAAAGACTGGGAACAACTGCTTTTTCAATTTATTGGAAGATGAATAAAGAAATGCTGAAATTTCACCTGTTAGGAACAAAAACACCACTAGCAGTTTAAAAGATGAAGTCCGTTCAGAAACACCAGGTCTCCAGCACTCCCTTATTTGTTATGCCAAGATCCATCAGTCAGAGAATGCAATGGGCAAAGAATCACAGATCCCACTTTCTGCAGTGTGATACCACGAAGGTGTATCATTCCCAGGAAATAAGATGGAAACTATTTACAAGCAATAGCAAAACACTCCTAATGATTTTACCAGCTAGAAAATTATTATTAAGTCTTATTGTAAAGGAAGCATTTCACTCATTGCAGAGTAGATCCAAGTGAGAATTTGGGCAAAATAAAGGCAAGCAGCAGCTAGGTGAAGGTGCTCTCCTTATGTTTTGGAAGAAAAAAAAAATACAGCCTCCACCAAAAGAATTATCATTCTGTGCAGCTTATGCTTCCCTGCAACATTTCAAGAGGATCAAAAAGTAGAAGTAGGATCACTGTCTAGAAATAATATAATTAAAACCAAAGAAAACCAATAAACCCCAAGTCATCAGAAAATTCAAGTGAGAACTGAGAGCAGCTTAAGAACGCCTCAGAAGAGGAACCAAAATAAATTGCAGTCCTGAGAGAAACTTGTGCTAATGGACAGCATTTCCAGCCACAAACAAATAAAATAATAAATATCTGTGAAAAAAAAAAGTGAGGAAAAAATAAATTGCTAACAGAGTATTTCATATATTTAGTAAGGAGAATACCATATAAAGTGCACGACTAGCTTGTTTTTGTAATCAAACCACGAATGTGGTGATGGGTCATCAAGATTGCTCAAATTTGCAATATGGGTTAGAATACAGGGGTCAACCTTAGATACAGCTCTTAAGTATATAATTTTAGTATTGAAGTTTGGAAAGCTCACCTTGCATTTGTGGTTTAAAGAAAACAAAAAAACAAACCAAAAATACCTGCCCCCTGAAGTGCATGGAAGAGACAGCAGTACACATCAGTATGCCAGTAAGAATCATACCGAAGACAGACCGCAAAGGAATACGAAGACTGAAAAAGACAAGTTAGCAGAAAACCTCCTCATTCAAGTGGAACAGGAGGCGAGGGAAAAGTGTGTAGTCTTACGTAGCTCTGGGACTGAGCGACACTAAAACCATGTTTCAAATATCAACAAGCTGGGTGCTTCCAATACCAAGAATAAAATTACAGCTGCAAATTCTGAAGCGTGTAACAAAAGTGCAGTATAAGAGGTGTCAGCTCTAACAATCAGTAACACCAGGAACAATGATCCTAGCATACAACAGTCACAACACTGCACCTGCTGATGTGCAAAGGTTTATAAAGCTAGTGACATAGCGGAGAAAGGAGCTGAAGAGGCATTTGCAAGATGGGAATAACTCAGGTGAATAAAAGGTGACCAACCTTTTTTCTATGAATCTATACTAGTAAAGAAATGGTGGGGAAAGAAAAGGAACAACAGGAAAATGCAAGTTTGAAATGACGAGCCAGAAAAATAATCAATATTAAAAACATATTTCAGATAAGACTTCTCTATGTCTCAGCTTGTATTTGTAAAGATTAATTCTCAGAGATCTTCTCACAGCACAGTAACTTGAGATTGGTGAAGAGAAGCCTAGAAGGGCATACAGATGAGAGACAGAAGCTCCATACCAGGGAAAAAGACATGCTAACAAGATAAAAGTGGAACAAAAATGTGGATCTAAAGGAATAACACTGGAAAACAGCAGCTAACACCACAGCAGACAATGAGGAAAGGCCACAGTGGTGAGAATGAAGGTTTCACAGACTCACAGAATGGATGTGTTTGGAAAGGACCTCTAAAGATCATTTGGTCAAAACCCGCTGTTGAAGCCGAGTCACCAAGGGTGATGGTCCAAGACCATACCCAGGCTGCCTCAGAAGATCTCCAAGAGGGAAAATGTAGAACCTCTCTCTTTCTTCTGGACTTGAAGTAAGAATCTTGAGAAAGAGAAGCTGGAAAACAGATTAAGAGCAAAAATCTGAAATAACACTGGGAGAAGAAAATACCTTTTGAAAACCAGTCTCCAAACTACACAACACTCTGTACCAGGAGCTGCTCTGAATTTCTGGCAGTTCACACTATAGGAGAAACCGTTAAAAATCTGATTCAGAAATGCTGAGCACCTACATCTACATCTGATGCAGTCTAGAATCACAAGTACACGGCACCTTTGAAAATCAGGCTCTAAAAGATAAAAGTCACAATTCATCTACGCAAATTTGGTGAATAAATATAGCTAAGGGCTCTGATATTCACCTGCAGAAACCAACAAAGAGCAATTTAAATCTAGATCCCAAACAAAATGTTAGAGGGCTGTCTTTATGAGAAAACATCCTGCATAAGCAGAAAGTTTTAGAACATCTCATTTATTTCTTGCTATGCAACCTTCTTCTGTCACTGAGGGCACTCCAACAGCTAATGAGGTAGGTACAGCACAACCAAATCTTTCCTGTTAAACAACAGGGATGGTAACACTTTATAGATTGGCCTAGCACAAAAATGATGATACTGGGTTTATATATCCCTGAGAGGGAGTAAAAACAGGGAGAACAGGGGTCTTCTCCGTAGGTGTTTCCAAAGGGCCATTGTGGGAAACTATGTTGTATGAAATCAATGTACTCATACAACAGCGATGCAAGATATGTACGTTTAACTGAAGGGGGAGCCAGAAATGTTCATTGACTTGTCTGTGGTTATGAAAGCAGTCGGTGACAGGCCTGGGATTCTCGATCAGCACTTCCTTGACTCCTGCACTGTTTGGTTACCTACTTGCTGGCCGGCCAGAAGCGCACTGAGTGGTTGTTCTAACATAATATATACGATAGTCATGCAAGGGATGTAGCACAAAAGTCACAGAAGAACAGAGCTCTCTCTGTACCAGAAAGTAGATTTCTTCTGGAAGATGAGTGCAACTGGGAACTTCTGGTGGGAAGCACAAATCTATTTTCTTCACCCTGGAATGTTTGGTGCTTAAGGCTTAGCACAACAAGGACAAATTTTATGACTAAATTTAACAGACAGCCTGTACAGGCATAAATTACAAGGTGTCTGACAGAGGAACAACCTTTGCCCTATACTCTTCTGACCCCAAGAAAAAAAACATTAGCCTGGTTAATTCAGTGGGCTCATCACAACTGTAAGAACAGTCTATATTTCCATGTCCACAGGTCGAATATCTCCAGTTTTGTGTTCTTTTACCCACAGTTCCCTGTCTTTGGCAGGATCCACTTTCCGAAGCAGCTGATCCACAAGCTCTACTGTCTGAAATGAACAAAACAAGAATTAAAAAGTCAAGGGCGCATTTCAAGCAGAGACGGTCACTGCTCTCAACTGTAGAACAGCTATGAGCATGCCTATGTGACATCTGCAGATAACCAAGAACTACATGTACTTGAGCAGGTGAACAACAGCCAGGGTGGGAACCAGGCTTGCCTTGCCAAGCAAAGACAAGCTTCCTACAGCAGGCACTGGCCAGTCCATCTTCAGACTCCTACTCTGCAAACTGTATCTTGCATCAAACAAAACCGTGCATTACAGGTCAGCATAATCCACCTGCCTTTTAATATTTGAAAACTAGACAATTTTTTGAACTTTTTAAATGAAAAAATATATATGCTCACTTCTGCAACAGTGAAATTGTGTATTTTCTGTCTTTCTTTGCAAGAATAAATGACTTTGAGGCGCTAGGAGAGCTGTTAACAGCTCACGCTGGTCAAACGAATTCAAAACCCCAACAAAAAGCTGGGATCCAGTGGTATGAAATTTAAGTGGATCAGAGAGTCTTGGAGGATGAGGCTGCAGGCTGAAAGCTAACAGCTGACAACACGTAGTTTTCACATCTCCTTTTGATAGGAAGTTAGTCAGACCACAATGGGGACCATTCAACTCAGCGGCAGCAAAGACCAAAGACAAACAAGGAGCAGACTTACACTTTGGTTGAACATGTCTGTCTCATGCCGCAGCTGTGTATACTGGCAGAGATGTTGCCGAATCATCTCCACCCTTTCAACTTCTAGTCTCTCAAGCTCCTAAAGAGGAAGAAATTAAGTACACTTGTTTTGGAAGCCGAGCTTAAAGGCCCAAAGAAAGGACGATATACAAAAGTTTGCCTGTCAGTGCAATACAACCCCATGGTCATGCTTTGGAGTTGAACTCTGTGCTTGCACATTGCTCTAAATTGCTCTAAATTGCAAAGAAGCAGAGAGAGCAAGCAAAAGAATTCACTTCATCCCAATCCAAAGGACAGAAAAAAAGGCTGAATTCTTTCCAAAACTGAGACCACTCAGGGAGAGATAGGAGACATTATCTTTAGGGATACATGAGGAAATCTGTTTCTGGCAAAAAGCTTTGCATGCTATGTTGCTAGCACCAGAAGTTACAGTGAATAGATGGAGAAGCAGGTGACTGTGTTGGGATGTATGACTCAGAGGGCCTGACTATTTTTAGTCTAACCAGACCCCTAAAAGAACAGTTTTATTTGTTACAGATGATAGGCTGGGACAAGTCTCCACTGAGCTCAGCTGGCAGTGAGAGGAGCCCAGCAACATTTCAGTTATAAAGGAAGGTAGTTTCTAAAGGAAAGTAGTTTCTAAATTTCCTTCTGAATTTTTCTGCCTCCCTCCCCTCTAGGAGGCTCAATTAAGTCTGTGGAAGGGCAGCATGTCTCCTGGATTATGATTCTGCTACCGGGTTTTATAAGGATGTATATCAAGACATATTTTTACATGATCCTTAGCTTGCATGTCCCCACCAACCAAGCTGCTGAGCAGCCTCCAGGCCACGACTTCCCTCTAAAGCTAAGGAACAAACCTTTAGATTCTCCAGGAACCATAAAAAGAGAAGTAGCCAGTAGGTAGAGGGAGATGATTCTCCACCTCTACTTTGTCCTTGTGAGGCCCCATCTGTAGCACTGCGTCCAGGCCTGGGGCCCCCAGCACAAGAAGGACGTGGAGCTCTGGCAGCGGGTCCAGAGGAGGCACTGAGATGAGCAGAGGGCTGGAGCAGCTCTGTGTGAGGAAAGGTTGAGGGAACTGGGCTTGTTCAGCTTGGAGAAGAGAAGGCTCTAGGGAGACCTCATTGTGGCCTTCCAGTACTTGAAGGGAGCTTACAAGCAGAAGGTGACCAACTTTTTAGACTATCTGATAGTGACAGAACAAGGGGCAATGGTTTTAAACTGAAAGTGGGGAGATTTAGGTTAGATGTTAGGAGGACTTTTTTTATCAGAGGGTGGCAAGGCATAAGCACAGGCTGCCCAGAGGGGTTGTGGGTGCTCCATCTCTGGAGGAATTCAGACTGGGTTGGACAGGATCCTGGGCAGTCTGATCTTCTGGCTAGCAACCCTGCCCAGGCAGGAGGGTTGAAATAGGAGGGTTGCTTCTTTATTATGAGGCGTTTGATGCTTTGTTTTTGTCCAGTGAGAAAAATATTAACAAAAGATGCTTTTATTTCCCAATTTTGAAAATAATTGGCTATTGTCTAGGGAATTCTAAGGAATGACATGAGAGAGAGGAGCCCTTGTGCTGAAGTATATGCATTTCAAGGAGCACTGAAAGTAAAAGCCAGAAGAGCATTTTACCATTTTGATGACTAACCCTAAAGGTAAATGCCCTTTGGGTGAACACTGTGAGCTGTGCTGATCTTCAGAGAAGTAGAGCAATAAGAAATTAAATTCTGTCTCTTCTAAGCTGGCAATACTCATGGGAAACAAAAATTCATTAATGCTTAGTGTATTTAGTGTATGTGTTGTGTGTCTTTTCATTTTCATTTCTTTGCTCCTTGGTTATTACTTCATCCTTCTTGGGGAAAATTCCAGCATTCTGGCCTCTAAGAAGTTCTGAACTGGTTTTGAGCCTTCTGCAAAGAAATTATTTCTGCATTCTCCAAATGATGTGAGTTTTTTTCAGAACTAAGAATGCAATATACCAGTGGAGATTAATTATCTAATTCTCCCAGTGCTTTTTCCTGCAACAAGTTCAAGCTACTACAACCTGGTAATGTTATAAACTTAAGACGCTACACAGAGTTACTACATACCAGAGTGGTGGTCACCATTTCCTCAAACCACTTGGACTGGGCTTGATTGTAAAGATCCACACAACGCATCAGGTCATCTCCTGAAAAGTTCAGGACAGCAGCACATTAATTCTTTCTGGCCAATATTATGAAGCTTAGAATGAAGTTGTTTCAAATATGCATCCCAAAGTTTTGGGTTTAGTCCTGGCAGAGCTGAATACAGTTGCTGCACAATACTCATTTGGCACAATAAAAACAACTTCAATGCAGTGCATGCAATTATGTTTAGTATAAGATCAGGTGTTGGAGGTGAGGAATTAAAGTGAAATGGAATTAGAAAATTTTAAAAGGAAAATATGAACACTAAGTAATATTTTACAAAATAAACTGAACTATGAAAGTTACTACAGTTAAATTAAAGCTGGTCATAGACAGAAAACTGTACCAGAAAAAACAAAATAATTAAAATTGGAAATTAATACTAATGAGTCATGGAACTATGGGACAGTAACCCTAGTTATCCTATAGCAGAATAGTAGCTAAGACTGCATAGTCTTGCGCAGTCTATAACTTGTTTTCCTGAAGATGCATAATTCCAGTCCATGCTTCCTTTCTTGTCCAGGGCAGTACCACAATAAGGCGCAATTAGTGCAATTTTTCCTCCGTTGCAGCACTCTGTTCTGATATAGAGGGTAATGCAGGTAGGAAATCTGTCACTTTCAGATACTACTGCTTTCTGGCTAGTAAATTCTCTTTCTTAGTTATGTCTTCACAAATGGTTTAATGACTTAGTCTGGAATTCAAATTCTTACTGTTCTTTTAGGTGCAAAAATATTTTTATACACAAAACAGGGCAGAATAAAGAACTGTGAATGGGATAATATAGATCAAGCAAGTGTCAAATAAGTAAATCCATCTAAAAATCTTGCACAGACTCAATATTTAGGGAGACAACCAAAGTCTATTAAAAAACAAAAAATCAAAAAATGCACTGAGATTTCAGGACTTAAAGGCTAAGCTTTCAGGAACACTGTGTGTGCTCCAGGAGACTCCCTAGGTATCAAACTGGATATTCTTCACCTACCTCAGTAAAGCTGAGAGACTACACAGCCAGGAACATGAAAGTCACAAAGCACATGACGTGAAAGCAACATTACTTGTTAGTAACATGGCATTGTAGAAAGGGTGTAGTTTTAAGGAGCATCTGAAAATCTCAAGTCATACATCCACTTGCAGCTTGCCTAAGTTCAAAGCCAGATCAGTAACACTGCATGCATCACACGCACCTCAGCTGGGCTGCTGCGTAGCCATATGTGTGGGACGAGGCAAGTCCTCCCACTTCCATGCACTGCAACAGTGGCATAAAGTCTGGTACAGTGATGGGGGGACTCAAGCCAAACTACTGGTTACTCCTATCTGACCTTCAGCTATCCCTTGTTTGTTCAGTAAACAATTAGTAAATAACTATACAAACAATTTCCGATGATCAAAGCAAACAGAAGTTGTGAATTTTCAGGTGGACAAACTAACAACATTGACCAAACAGTCTCCTATCACCAATGAAGCATTTGTTCCTCCTCAAATGGTTCTCTGTATACACGAACTGCAAATGACTCTTACTAGTGTCATCAAGACCCACACAGGCTGAGAAAGCTCAGAGTTTTAGTACTGTGAAGGACCACTCTACCACAGGACAGACTGTGAAGTGATGAACTATGGAAACCACAGTTAAAATGCATTTGTAGTAATGTTACTAACAGTACTGCATAGGTCAGCTTTACAGGTCTCAAGAAAGACAGTTTCTAATGGATCCCATGAAAGTGATTTGAGTCTCTGTAAAAAGCATGCACAAATATAATCAAGTAAGTGTTGTCTTCACTACAATGTAACACGCACTACTATATCCTCAGCATGTGTTGAACAGAAATCATTTTAATTGCTTAATTAACAGAAGAAAAAAAAAAGTTTACTTTCAAAGAGGTAGGCAGCATAGCAAGCACCCACACCATTGTGGGTAACTGATTCAGTGAGTAACCAAGGAAGGAACTACAATTTAAGGAAGAAACTTCCCCAGCTGAGCAAAGATCTGTAACTACCTTTGACAGGAACTTCAGAAAAGCCGAAAATTCGAACACTGTACCCCAAGCAACTCTGTAAATAGAATCAGTTCTATGGGCCTTAATCTTGTAAGTACTCATGACCCTTAGAAAAAGAATAAAAGCTAAGACTGCACTTAGTTTGAGCTGTAAACAGCACTGTTTTAGCCAGAAATTGAGAAAAAAGTTGTACTGTGGGGTGGGTCATGCTACCTTCATCACTTATAAGTGATGTGTAGAGAGGAAGCCTGCAGTGAGCCCCTCTGAGATCTCCGGGGCTAACAGATCTTTGGTATAATATTTGAGCATACCTGAAAAAGTGTGAATTTGCAGATCCATAATCACACCAAGGAAAGCCCCGGACTCCTTGCTGCCATCTGGATGCCCTAGCTGATAGGTGGAATCAGGCTCCTTCTTTCTTGTTCTTCCTCTGGACCCATAAAACTTGCCTTCCTGGTTGCACAGTAACCCAGCTTCAACAGGAGCGATGCAGAGTAATCTTACCCCAGAGCACCCCATAATTTGCTTACACTTCTTTGTGGTTGGAGAGCTGTGTGTTTAGACCTCTGATTTGAGAGAGCCTAAACCATAGATCTGCTGCCTTCTAGGCAAGCACCAGCCTGCTACATGAGTGGCAATAGGTCTTGTGCTGGCAGATTTTTCAGCTGAACTAAGTACAACCTGAATAAGTCACAAACCTATTTTGAAAACCCTAAGAAACTTAAAAACGGAGGGGTCAGATGGGAGACAGGCATCTCATTATCTCAGCACCACCAACATGAAGGCACAACTCAAGCGTTTCTGTCTGAAACTAAAGCACATAAGCAGGCTAACTACACTGAAACTGGACACTAATTCCATTTCAAAGACACTTCAGGCTATGACAAATTTCTTTAACTCCCACTTATAAAGTTTAACAAACACTTACCTCAGCACAACTTTACAAAACACAAGTACAGTTCTACAAAACACTCTCCTTTTAGTTCAGTTATCAAAATCATCAATCATTTCCTGATGTCATATTAGAAAAACCTGACTGTTTTTTCCTTTGAAAAGAATTCCCTGCTTCTAAGGTTCATTGTGGGAGAGATGGACTAGATGACCTTTAATGGTCCCTTCTGATTCAAATGATTTTATGATTCATTTCTAGATTTCACTGCTGCAGTCTTAAAAACATGAAACACGTGGATGGACGGATGAGCAGTTAGATCCCAGTTATCCACACCACGATCTCCTAGCTGGTTCCCCAGTGCTGCACTTACCTCCCACTGGCTTACAACTGCAGGTACTCACCTGCCTGAGTAGACTTCCGCCTTGCCTTTTTAATTTCCTCTTCTGTCTTGTTGCTGAGCTTCACCTCCAGCTGCTGTGTTTTCATTTCCAGATCCTTCTGTCTCTCTGTCAAGGCTTTCCGGGCCTTGGAGTAATTAAAGGTCATATTGTTTACATGAAAATAGCTTCCACCTGCTTTCAGCCCTCAATGACTTTTTCATGCATGTGTCAGTAAGAAGTCAGGGATTTTACGTAAAACTGGGCTCTAACTGGCATTCAAGTTCCTAGGACATCATATGGTGTTCAGGGAAGGGTCCTACCACCATACAGAATTTTTCACTGATGAAACTGCAAAATCATCTGGACTTTCAGGTCACTGTCTATCTGCCTCACTGTACCAAAAGGCATCATCAGATTGTAATGTTCCCTATAACTTTTTCACTCTTTCTGGAACAAAGAGGAGCTGAAACTTCTTCCAAATCTCTTAAGCAGATACCTCTTACATATGCTTTTTTCAGTACAAATTGAAGAATTTCAATTACATTATAGAATTTATTTTCAACTACTTTCTAGTTTCAATATACATTTATCAGCAACTTTAACAACAGGAAATTTTAGACTTGCTTTAGAAAAACTAATTCAGGTCAGAGACAACAATAGTTCATAACATAGAAATCAATAACCTGAGACCTGTTTACAACTGATTACTTAAATCACCTTAAATTTCTTCAAGGTTTTAAGACCTGATTTATCAGTGTAATTACTTAAGTTATACAGGTAAATCAGCAAATTGTCTGAACAAGTAATCCAATACCTATGCAAGTTGTCTTCTCATTTGCTGAAGTTGCCTAAATACATAAGGAAAACTTGTTCTGCCTCAACTGTTCTGCTTGTTACAAAATAGGTCATGTTGTTCTTTCTCAAGTTAGAGTGCCAAAAACTAAATTTGGATGATCTGTTATCACCTTGCAGTTCTCCCACATCACACCTGAGAGTAACTTAAGATGCTCTCAAAGCACTGCCTGAATTTTTCATTTCAGTGTTATAGATATAGGCTTAGTTTGGCAGGTCACAAGAGGGAGCTACAGGAAAGCAATCTGGTGAGAAGCAATGTGCTTCATCTGGCAAACTGCAGACACAGCTTTTTTTTTTTTTTCTTTACCATTCTTTATTCTCAAGTCTGTTTATTCTGATTCACCCTTTTCAATCTTTCTACTGTCTTCTGATTCACCTTTTTCAATACCCCTACTGAAGTCTAAAGAAAAGTGCTTTCTCTGAATATATGCAGTCTAATAATCTTGTCTGTCCTGCCACAATTTTGCCCTTGAGCAAACTTTCTGATACGCACTCTGATCATAAATGGAAGTCCACACAACCTCCTGGGTTAACTGAGTGATGTTTTTCTTTCCACCCGAGAGCATACCCGAGTCATACCCGAGAGCATGCTGGGTGAAGATACCGTGACAAAGAACCACACAATGTAGCCCAAATATCTTGGCAGCTGAGCTTACTTCCCAACAGCTACTTACAAGAAACCTCTTTTCATAGGCACAGCTCTATAATCATGATCTCAGCTACCTACTGGATGCTTATGTTAAAACAGTACCTGAAACTAGGGTGCTGCTGTTTGCTGTGACACAGAAAACTAATACTGGGAGAGTGTCTGCAAACTGCTGTGCCAAGTTTGAGCTAACTTTTTTGACCATCTGCTTCTATTGTCCAAGAGGATACTGAAGTGGATGAGCTTTTGGCCTTAGCTGTTCTAATGCAGTGTCTCTTAGATTTTGAGGGCAATACATTTGATTTCTGGACACATATGAGCTAAGAATATTTCTACCAAATATGTCAGAAATAAGTTATCGCAAACTGAAAAAGAGCAGATGCAACAAAAAGCTAACTCAGCAGTAACACAGGAGCACTGGCTACAACTCTTAGCTTCCCAAAATTCAGCTAAGTAGCAAACCACATCTGGAACCCAGTAAAGCATAACCAGTAGCAGAAAGCACTCAGCAGAAATCTTTGTGGCTCCTTGTGATAGAACAGAATCTTTTCATGGGGCAGCTGTTTTTGTGTTCCAGACAGCAGCATCTCAAACTCTCCAGTTTGTTCTCCACTCCCACCTTTTCAACAGCTGCATAGCGGCTGGCCAGCTGCTTCCTTAAGTCTGCAATATGGTGGTCACACTTCTTCATGTCTTTCTTAAAGTTCTCTCTGAAGTTGAGCAGGGGTTTCTCTACCTCACTCTGAAGCTGATAAAAAAAAAAAAGGAAAATGGTATTAATGAAGAGTTCAGCAGTAATTCCTGGCTTTTCTGCTGATCAGAGATCAAGACAGAGTAAACAATACAAGCACTGCAGACACAGGTAGTACTGTACTAAAACATTTCTCTTGCCCAAGTCAGCTCTGAGTGATGCTACTACAAACATCATCTCCTCAAAGGACAGCTCTGCTAAGAGAATATTTACTGAGGGAAGCAGAAAGACATACATTTTGCTTTCCTCTTTCTCTGTTAAATCCTCTCTTCTCTTGCATGTAAGATCAAACTTCATGCAGTAGCATGCAGTGCTCCAATTCTGATGTAACTGATGCAATTTACACACCCAAAGAACACAAACAAAACCCGCTAACCCTGACTGCAGTGAAGTGACTCAACACAGTGAGGTTACATGTCTGTATGTACTGGGAAAAGGGATCCATTAATGGCCCATTTTATCTATTTATTTCTGCTAGGTGCAAGGGAGCCTAAAGAGAAGCAAGTCTCAGCAGTTAGCTGAGTCCCTTCAAATAATGGTAAGAAAACCACTGTGAAATGGACTCAGGAAAGACCCACTGAGACCACACCTGTGACTACAAGTACAGGCACTTAGCTCTTACAATCCAGACTTTACAGTCAGTAATTCTCAATTCTGCATCCCATTGCTCTGTAACTTTCTCATACATATACATGGCCTTGATTTTTTTTGGAAATGCACTCAGAAGGGATAAGGACATTTCACCCTCCCAGAAGCAACCCAATACTTTTTTTTCTATCATCCTTCCAGTGCAGGTGCCGGGCTCTGCTTATGCAGCTGAGTTTGGTCCTCAGTCACTTCTCATGGACCAGCGGAGCATAATTAAGTAGTTCTTAAAACCAAGTATTTTTTGCTTTCCTGTAGAACTATTTTAATGGAGGAAGACATTTCATTCGAGTTCAGTACAGCCTTTTGACAGAGAGATGCTACAGAGATAGCCTAGGCCACAAAGCACTTACTAGAGAAGTTAATAAAGCTGACGTTGATAAGGCAGCTGGAGAGTAGCACCAACGTGATTTAATATTGCCTGCAATTACTTGGAAGTCAAAGAGCCAAATTCTTCTTTGTAGGGCCAGGCAATATCACAACAGAGAATTTGTAGCCATTCTATCTTTGGAAGGTTCAGACAGAATATTGTTTTTAAAACATATCATAAGAATGGTAGTGGAAAATTGGTACAGAATGAACAGAGAGGTTGTGAAATTTCTATCCTTAAAAGGTACTCAAGATTTTGCCAGACAAAGATGTAGCTGACTTGATCCACTGTGGTTGATAACGTTTCTCTCAATGGGAATTTGGACAGGAAAATTCCAGACAATATTTTTATGACCCTCTAGATATGATGACCCTAGACAAGCTAATAAAGAGCTGTTCGCAGCTTTGTGGTCCAGCTCACCTGTACAAGCTCAGTACCTGAGGTACGAATGCATATCTGTGCCAGTAGCATTTCCACTGCTGAATGAAAATAAGAACTGACACAGAGAGAATTTCTGCATTGGTTCAGTTGCAACTGAAGAGGCAACGTATTATAATTGATAGAGATGTCTGTGTGCAAACGAGTTTGAATTAGCTGAATAGTCAGAGAGCCCTTCAGATCCCTCCATCAATAAATGAGTTAACCTGAGCAAACAATCCAAGATGAGTCAATCAGCCTTGGTAAGAAAGACAGAAACCTGACTCATCTGATCCAAACAAGCATTGCTGTAAAAACCCTCAAGAAAATCCCCAGAGCCAGAGAAAGGAAACAGAAGAAATTTCAGTAATCATCCTTGACCAACAGAAAGTTAAGGTTTTTATTACATGCATTTAATAATGAGATTGGAAAATTCTGAGATCCCCAAAACAATGGGAAATGCATCAAGAGGCTCAAAATGCAAGCAAGTAAACTCTCACCATTTTTGTGTGCTGGACATTAGAGAAGACTTCTCAGTGACAGCAGTTATCTGCTCCGTCAGCACTATTTCCAGAATGGCTGGTAAAATACCACCATAACCAGACCAGTCCATCATTACTTAAACTATGGTACATGCACATCTTCTCTTCTAGAGCGGAACTCACCTCCTGGAGCTCAATGAAAGATAATCAACTGGAGAAGTGCTTCAATCCCATGACAGCCTTCATGAAGAATAGATATATGCACCTGTGTGCGTGTACCTACAATTGCCATTCCAGTCTCTACATGTATCACTAATGCCATAACACCACACTTACTGAATGCCCCAAGAGCAGTCACCATCTCCAATGTATTTGCAATCCCTCCTCATGTGACAGCATCTTCACTGTCAGGTTTAGTTTTGATTACTCTTGGTGTGCCCTGCATTGTGCCAGCACTGATGATGGATTTTGTTTATCAATAAGAAATGCAATTACTACTTTTAAGATTCTTTTTCTGAACATAACAGCAATAATCAGTATTTTTAGAAACATCATGTTAATGAAAGAAAGCTGGAGTTAGGAAAAAGCAGTTAAAGGATCAGTGTTGAGTTCAGAGGATGCTGCAGGAGCTTCTGTGGAGGATTTAGGAGCAGCAAAACAATAAAAGAATCCTATTCACTGCTTGACTACATTTACATGTCAATCAGGGTGCACCTCCTCCCATTGGAGATCAATTTGGGAGACCAATAGGGAGCAAAAAGTATTTCACTAATTACAACCTTGAAGTAGAAGTTTGAAGCAGAGCAGTGGGTTACCAGGGCAGCAGTTGGTTGCCTGAGTAACTTCTGCATAATCACTTACTGCAGAACTATAATGTTCTTTCAGAACACGGCTGTTGTACTTAGATATGTGCATCTATATTAAACTTGATCACCCACAGAGGTGAACAATTTAACAGGATGCAAGCGTATGTCACATGTGGTGGGAAAAAAACAGATCATATTGTACAAGCAACAGTTTGCATAAGAAGTCTTCTTGGGCACTACTGGAGAGAAGACCTGAGAATAACACAAAGTTCCCACTGCCCTTTTCAAAAAGGCTAACAATATGAACAAGTCATAGTCCTGGTTCTCTTCCTTGCAGACAGGTAAAGCAGGTTCTTGGTGAGAAACCGAACAGTATTATTTTTGTTTCTTCCTCTAGAGAAGTAATCTGTACAAACTCAAGGCAAGTCATCAACTAGAGGGCAAAGATTTTTGCAACAAGGAAAACAAGCCATTTACCTTAGAAGAAAATTTGAGATGAACCTCTGCTTCATCAGCGAGACTCTTCTTCAGCTGAGCCCAAGCCTCTCCCAGTGTGCTGGAAAAACACAGCATAGCAACGATCAGTGCAGTTTTCTGAACATCCTTACATCAAGACTGATCAGGCAGTTTCATATGACACAACAAAGATTTGTAGCATACCATGCTCTGGAAAATCATGGAACAGCGACAGCAGAAATCTCTGAAGATAACTGGTCTCTTTGACCAACTAATCACATTTGCAGTGTATGTGGAAGACCTCTGAAAAGTGTTCATAATCACCTCCAGTTGCAGAGATAAGATACTCTGCTATCTGATCCTTAAAATTTTAAACACATATTTATCCAACATTTATTAACTTTTTTTCTTTTTTTATAATTAAAACAGATTTTCAAAAGTGCATTTTTTCCTTTCTCTTCTACCTCAAACACCGAGTTGGTGAGCAAGTAATTCTAATTTTCTGTGCAGAAGCTGTTAAGTATTTGAAAAATATTAGGCCCTTTCTCCCATCTTCTTTTTCTTTTAGACACGTTATTTTCTAGACAGTGCAATTTTAGGTACAATCCTCTATACCACAGATGTCCAACCTTCTGGTTTGCCTGGGCCACAGTAAGTGAAGATTGTCTTTGCCGCATACAAAATATATAGTATAGCTACTGTATATAAGTAACAATTTCTTTTAATATTTTTCATTAAAACAAAGACAAAAAAAAAAAAAAAAGGAGGGGGGGGAGGGGGCAACAGAACTATAAGACCAGTAGGATATTTGACCTTGCTTTTGTGAACCTAATGCATCAGTCTGGTTTGATGGAAGTGGTTGAAATCTTAATGAGTCTGATAGGCATCCAAAGATGCCTATCAGAGATTTTTTTTATCTAATTTTACTCTTCCTGAAAACATCTGTTCACAAATGTACCTACACTGTCAAAAACACTTATTGGGGAGATTGAGATTGGATATAAAGAAAAAGTTTTTTACAACAAGGGGGTGAGGCACTGGCACAGGTTGCCCAAAGATGTGGTGGATGCCCAGTCCTTGGAGACATTCAAGGTCAGGCTGGACCAGGCTCTGAGCATCTGATCTAGCTGTAGGTGTCTCTGTTCATTGCAGGAGTGTTGGATAAGATGACACCTAAAGTCCCTTCCAGCTCTAAGGATTCTGTAGTTTTCTACAATTCTACAGAAGTGATGATATGAATGAGGTGTGACTGTGAAGTAAGAGATATCTTTCTCTGGGAAGACAGATAAAGTCCAATAAGAGTCATGACCAAATCCGATATGAAAGCTAGGCTTCATATTTTTTGCTGTTCATAGGACTGTGGAGTCATTAGCCAATGTATGAAAATGTACGAAATGATTTTTCATAACTTCAGCTTGCCATAATTTTTCATTTTGAACATTGTCATGGTTAGAAATGTAGCACAGATAAGTTGATTTCCGCCACAAAGACACATGTTTGACTCATTTGAATGAGTAGTCAGATCCACCAGAAAGCTGAACCTGTGAGCTGTTCTTCATCTTCAAGTTCTGGCACAAGTTTTCCTTCGGATTCCATGGATGATTTGGTTTCATTTCACAAACGATAAAATCCTGTTGGCATTTTACCTCTTTCCTTCAGAGAGGAAATGATGATCCCACAATGAGCATCCGCACTTCTAAGGAACTCCTGGGATTAGTAATTATTCAGTCCCCTGAACTTCGTGAAATTCACAGCTCTCATGATAATGTAAAGTGTACGACACGTGGCTCTCAGTCACACCATGTTTGTGTGGCAGGCCCCAGAGGTGGGTCAGCCCTGCACCTTGCCCTCACCTGCACAGAGTTCCACTGTCACCTACAGTCTGTACTTGAGCTACGTGCAACCAACTCATGACAAATATTGCTAAAAATCACATGATAATGCTAAATGTTCATGATCTTACGAGGCTGCCCAGGGTTGTGTGTGGTCCACAGGCTGGACATGCCTTCATTAGACCCTCTCCAACAGCCCAGATTCCTCTTAATGTGTCATAACAAAAGTTACATCATCTTCCAGTTGCTAAACTGGTTACACACTATCTTGTATCAGACACTCTTCTGCAGATCTCAATGCAATTGCTTTTTTAGACAACAGCATGAAGTTGTTGATGAATAAGCTTGTGATTCAGTATAAACAGATCCTTCTCCCACAAACTGTTATGTAACTGTATCTTTCACATCCTTGTGGAAGCATAAAACCTGCTACTTTTTCCTTACTGAAATGAATTTCAATTTGTTTCTTCCGCTCATTTCTCTAGTTTATCAAAATCATTCTGAAATGCAATCTTTTCTACAAATTTTACGTCAGCCCTCCTAAATTTGCCTCATCTGTGATTTTAATAAACCCATTCTTTTTTCTATCACAAATCATTAATGAATATATTGAAAAAAAATCTAGACTTGAGACAAAATTTGTGGACTCTCAATCTATAGCTACTCACACAGCTAAGTGCTAAGTATGATTTCTTCCCCAGTTTTGAACATCAGCCTTTCGCCCATTTTTCTTGCCTGCCTACAAGAACCTCCCACTGTCAAAAGCTACACCAAATTAACAGCTATGGTGCTGATTCCTTCTTCCAAAGGGCCTGTTATTCTCATACTGGAGGTATTTGGGTTGTTTGACATCATTGGTTCTGCATTTATCCACAATAATTGCTCATCACTTTGTTTTCCACTAAGTACTTTTAGAAAGCTTGACTGCTTGTTCCATCACTTTCTCAAGGTTATATAAAGCTGACTGATCCACAATTTCACAGCTCCTTCTCTCTCTCTCCCTCAACTCCTTTTCATATTTACACATCCCTAGTAGCCTTAAAAATTCCCCATCATCTGTAATTTTAAAATAAAGATCTGTAAACTCTTAACGTTGCTCCAGTGAGTTGAGTCCTCTCAAACATGGTGGGAAAATAATAATAATATATATTACTGTATATAATATACTATATATATATATGTATATAAAACTATAATGCAGCAATATTATATATACATATGTATATATATTTACAAAACATAATTGCTCACCACTTGCAGACCAATGTTCAGCCAGTCCCCTAACCAACTCCCCACGGCTTTATAGTGTTCACATCATGTCATTTGGTATGGAATTATCCCTTTGGTCAGTTTAGGCCAGCTGTTCTGTTTCTGTCCTCTCTCAGTTCCTTGTGCCCCCTAGGCCTCCCCCTGGCAGAACACTGAGAGAAGCTGCTAACAACTAAAACACTGCTGTTATCAACACTGTTTTTCTCTTCAAGCAAAAGCACAGCATAATATCAGACTCTATGAAGAAAATCAATTCTGTCCCAGCTGAAACCTGGACATAAGTTTAGATGCTTAGAGAAATAATACAAGGCTGACCTCTTGTCTATTGGAAGCAGAGAAAACATCTTGTGAAGCTTCACTCCCAATAGAATTAGGGTGAGGACAGTCATTCGAGTAGTGATAGGGCAAGGGAGGGCAGCTTTAAACTAGAAGAGTGGAGACTGAAATTAGATATTAGGAAGAAATTATTTACTATGAAAGTGGTAATGCAATGGCACAGGCTGCCCAGAGAGGTGTGGGTGCCCCGTTGTGGGATGTATTCAAGGCTCTGGGCAGCCTGAGCTAGTGGGTGACAGCCAGCCCAAATCAAGTGCTGGAGCTTAGTGGGCTGCAAGGACCCTTGCAACCTGAGCCATTCTATGATTTCCAGCCTCAGATTTCAGTGGTGGTATCTTCAGGAGTGGTATCTTTTCACTATTACTAAAGAAGTGTAGTCTAGTCAAAGCACATTGCTTATTATCTTCTTGATAATTTCTGAAGTGTTGCTGCTGTGGTTTGCTCTGCAGTCTTTGTTAAGGCAAAAAAGTACTGGTGCCAGAGACATCCCAATGCCAGGAAAATGAAGAGCGTTCCACTCTTCATCAGCAAGGCCTCTCTGATTCTTCCCTTTCCAGCAACGAATATGTTTTCAGCTGCATATTTATTCTATACATTCCTCCACATTCAAAGTAACTTAGTATGTATTCATGCTAATCCCTATGTGAAATACTGCTGATCCCAACAAGGATAGCATTAAACACATCATCAGAAATGCAAGGTTTTATATAGGTATTGCTAAAAATTTACCATGAATATCTTCAAAATAAAAATATTCCACACCAATTCTGTCTTTCCCAATACACTCAAAATGCTAAGCTAAATAAACTTCTACTGAATGGAAGAGCTCAGGAAGAATGCCTGTATCTGTGTGGGAGAAATGACTTTAATGTTAAAAATTCTTGTCTTCTGCTAAAGTCACAGAGAAAAACTTACCCTTCTTCCTGAGCAGCCAAGGAATTCTGAGACAGTTTGGACAGGTTCTTAGCATATTCCTCCTCAATCTTTATCCTACACACACACACATAGAGAAAATAGAAAGACAGCAGTAAATCATCATTAACCTAGAAACCCACACACATAGTTTAAGGAAAATCTCTGTATTTGAAGGGATCTTGCCACAGGAATTTTCAGTGGTTGGCACAAGATCTCTCTCTCCCTTCCATATGCTAAAATGCGGTGTCAAGAACATGGATACACGCAGGAGAGCAGATGTGATAAAGTTAGAAGAAAAAACTACAGTTCTGGAGCACAAACAACAAGGACAAAGTGTTTCCAAGGTACAGCATGAACTGTCTGCAAAATTTGGGCTCGCTCGAAAAGTGTATTTCTCAGTGTACTGCTAAAGATGAAGTCATACATCCTTGAAGCAAAGATAAGGGGATGCAGCTACAATGAAAAATTCTGAGTGAGAGTGAGCAATGTGACATCATCAGCTATCAGGCTATAGTCAACCACTGGAGAATGGTTTCTCACAAGAAGAAAGATGTGACCTGAGGAGTGTAAGGAAGAACTTAAAAAATCACCAACAGCAAGTGAGAGAGATCAACTCAATCTAATTAAAGATGAAATCAAGTGGAGACATGGCATCAAGTATCCAGTACATAAATGGCTTCTCCATGTTTGCCATGGTCCCTGAATCTGGGGTGCTGGACTTCACTAGTGACACAAAATGCTTCCTAATTGCTGTTACAGATGACAAAGCTGGTGAATATGTGGCAGATGCTTCTACAACCATTGTGCAGGAGGGCAGCCCATGCCTTTCACCTACCCACCCAGTGCTGAAGCAGGGTCCTGATCCTTGCCTGCATTCACTCAGCAGCACCATTCCAGTAACAGCTGAACTTGCAAGCATTGGTGGGAAGGGAGCGTGAAGCTGTTGACACTGTAGGAATGGCTGCAGGGAGAACCATTAAGCAAGGTGATGGGGTAAGTTCTTACTGCACATTGGGGAGGGGAGGAACAGCTAGCTAGTGGTTCAGAGGTGACATGAATCACACTTGAAGCTGAACTCCAGCTCCCCTGATGATTTTCACCTAGTCAAACATTTGCAAAGTTCTCCTGACTACGAACTGCTTTGCCAATTTTCAAACAAATTTGCTCAGTTTAGCACCTCTGATGAAGAGCAGTGTGGCACCCAAGTGGAGCAGCTCCTGATTCTGTGCTGAACTACACACAGAAGGAAAGTGGGACAGAAGGTGGGATATTTGTGGCATACCAGCCTGCAGTAGCTAGCTGAACACACATTCCAGTGTGTGGTGCATTCAAGACAAAGGGATCCTTCTGACTAGCTAAAATATACCTAGTATTCTGGGCTGATGAAAATATGGTGTGGATGTTACTCTGAGATGCAGCTGGCTGAGACCAAGGTGATTCCCAGCCCTTTGCATCAGTACAGCAGAGCGCAACTACCAACCTCATACAGCATAGTGAGTTCTTTTTCTCTCCACCCTCTCAGTACAAAACCAGCCAGCTCAAGACCAATTTTACAAGAACACTACTAATCAGCTCTGCCACAAAGAGGTGTCAGTTCACAGTTTTGTCAACAATCAAGTTGTGGACTGTCCACATCTTGGTCCCCATTTGTAGGTCACTGGTCAGACTGCAGAACCAGCAGTATGAGTCAGGGCCACCAGCAGCACCATAGCTTGTCTTCCCTCACTCACAACTCTATCTACCAGCACTTTTCTCACACCAATTTAAAACATATGACAAAAGAAACTTATATGGCTAATTCTGCATCAAATCACAGAATGGTTTGAATTGGAAAAGCCTTTCCTGCCTGTAATATGGGGTTGGAACTTGTACTGTCCAATACAGCCTGGCCTCTGTGGACGAGGCATCCAGTTTCACCTGTGCCACTGCTTCACTATCCCCTGTAAAAAAATTCTTCCTAATATCTAATCTAAATCCATCCTCTTATAGTTCTAAGCCATTATTCCTCGTACTATTGCTACACTCCCCGACAAAGAGTCCCTCTCCAGCTTTTGTGCAGGCCCACCTTAAGTGCTGGAAGGATTCACAGGAATGACCTAGTTTCCATGTCAGCGGATCCCTGAGCCTGGCTCCCAGCAGCCCTGTTCTAACAGCAGCTCACCTTCACTCCACCCACCAACACAACTTCCTACACCCATGACACCGGGAATAATAAATCCTGTTACAGTGTGCCAGAGAAAATCTGCAAGCAAGATGAATGGCATCTAGCTCCTGGCAAATGTGAAGACTGTCTACGAAACACTTTCTGTGGAGTCTGGAAAGGACAAAAGCTCATAAAAAGAAAAGCAAAGCCTGCAGAAGTCCCATCAATCTCACTTTAGGGCAGAGAGAGAAGTAACTTCTGAATCTCCAAACTTTGTACTGAAAGACAAGTGAGTAATATCTACAACAACCAAAATGTATTTTATTCAGTGCTCCCAAGCACAACAAACAATTCATTTGTAAGAAACACAAAAGTGTAATTGTGCAGTCAAAATAAATGCAGGACTGAAGTCTCAGGATACAAATAAATATATAATTAAGAATTAGACACTACTTAGAAGGCAAGGAAGAAGGAACACTACTGGAGTCAGTAGTTCCTCAAAGAATTATAAAAAGGTGAACTGGTTACTGTGCAACAGCCTCAAGACAAAAATGGCCCCCACTCCAACCTTTGGCAAAAAGACCTTAAAGACTTTATCTTCAGTGGAAGAAAACAGCAAGACAAAGGTATACCTCAAAAATGGAGAAAACTGTTTGCTGGCCTTGGCCAGTTTACCTACCCTGAAAATACTCAACTGTGATCATTCTGAAACACCAACACACCAGACATTACAAGAGTCCTTAGATCTGTTTCAGTACCTCAAAAAAATCCAATTTTTGCAATTATTTCAGCTTCAACACAGACAAAATTAATTTTCTTGTTTCCACTAACTTGTTTGAAAACATTAAATATTTCACTCCCCGGGTACCAGAAGCATCAGTTTTTGAGCATATTTTCATGTGTATTGTCTTAATTTTTATTTGTTCTCATTGCTCTTTGGATGCTTATTTCCTAATCTTTTTTTTTTTTTTTTTTTTCTTTTTCTTTTCTAAAGTACATTGTGTGCTCACATTCAAACAGTTAAATGTTTCAGTCCTGGCATCCTACAGTAGATAAAGAAAATCCAGAGAGCTACAATGGGAGGTAAAGATGATCTGATGCGACTGCCATGTAGGAAAAAACTGAATAGATTATGACAACTTAGAGAACACAGAGAAGAGGTGATAGAGGATACCTGACAGACATCTAAACAACTGTCACTTGTGTGAAGACAGTGGCTAGGAGTCTTTTTACACCATCAGTTGAGATTAAAAATTATCAGACAACAGAATTACTTTTTGTGGCACATAAGTGCACTGAAGAAAGTCTTTGCTGTAAAACATTACCACTGCCAAAAAACCAGACATGTTCATAAGGATTAGACAAACAGTGGAAATCAGTTTTACAAACAACCTGCTGAACAAGGCAGACCTAATGCCAACTCTAGTTTCGGCAATCCCTACACAGAGGCTGGGAGGATAAAGGCTCTGACGGTCTTCTCCTAAGCCCTAAATACTGGCATGCTCAGAGTAAAGTTTCTGGGCTACAAAGACCTTTCACACAAGCAGGGTAATGGCTGTACACTCTGTTTCATTTCTTGTAGTTAAATAATCTGATATTTATTTTACATTTTTCCAATCACAACTCAGCTCAACTAAAAAGTGTGAGTAGCCAAACACTGAAGAGTGCTGTTCCTTAGTTAATAAAAAAACCTCTCTCCTAGTCACTCTGAGAGACTAATGCCTTCCAGTGCTGTTTGCAAGTTTTCCTGGCTTTTCTGGAGTGCAAATTACTTGAATGCAAATGCTGTACCATATCTTCAGTTCCAAATTAAAGTAATTATTTCCTTCTTTCACACCCAAACACTTGATCTCTCAGTTCACCTCTCTTTACCTCTTCCCATTCCTTCAGTCGTTCTAGTTCCAAAAGAAATGCTTTTTTACCATGTGCCTGCCACTGTGTTACACAGCTGCTACCAGGATTTCCAGTTCTTCCATTATTTACCTAGCTTCTGCCCCTCCTCAAAGTGTATGTCACAATGCAAAATCATGGAGATCTCATCCCAGCTTCCTATTTAGAGCTATCTTTATTAGCTGTCTGAACCTTAACTCCAGAAGGCAGTTTTTAACAAATGCAGAGTTTTCTGCACTTGAAGCTTGCACTTAACCATTCCGAAACGGTTTTAGTAGCAGTAGCCTAGTAGATCATCACAAGAATCTTACCATAATCTCTTTCATTTTAGCCAAGGAAGTTAAAGCTTCCCTGAAGTCCTGAGCTCTCACTTCCTCTTCAGCCTGACATGCTCCACCGTTTCCGTACACAGCAATCTTCAATCATTTGTTCCAAATTGGAGAAAAATATACTCAACTTTTTGTAGCTCCTTTCTAGACTCTCTCCAAACTCAATACCAAAGCCTCTTTGTTGCCCAGGACACAGTGAATCTTTTCTGTCCTTTCTTCCACAACATGCCTATTTCTTTCTCCAATAATGACACAGCCATGCCTTTTCCCAGAGTCAGAACTGGTCTCTCATTACTCCAGCCCAGCCTACCTGCATTTCGTGCCCAATCTGCCTCTCTCTTGAATTCTCCCTTGTTTTCTTTCTGCTAGATTTCCATCTTAGACTGTTTTCTTCAGATTTCTTTTCCCTGGCTATTTCCATCGTTATTCTGCTTGTTTTCTTTCCATCTTCTAGCTTAGCGCATCCATTTCTCAATTTTTTCCTCTGCCAGCTGGTATTTTTCTCTGCCCACTGCTCACATTTATTCACAGATCATACAGGCAACTGTCTCTTAGACTGTCTTACACCAAAAACATCAGGAACCAAATATGGATGCCAGGCACTCTGCACCTCCTACATCAGGCTGTCTTCATTGACTATGCTGTACTTTGTATAGCTGCCATACCCCTATTACTGCTGCTGCCATACCTCTCTATAATTAAAAAAAGAGGGAGGAATTACCTACAAGTTTTGCTCACTCAAACTACACCACAACCTTCAATGTCCATGTCTGCTTCTCGCCTTGTTCACTGCTTCCACAGCAATGAACCATCAGTACAACAATGCTGTGATGTAGAAGTGGAGCAGGAAGACAACATCAGCTCAGCAGGAAGCCCAAACAGAGAGGCAATAGCTAAGGACAGCAGCTTCTTCACTGGTACAACTGCCTCAAAGACAGAACATGCATAAACACAATCTGACCTTCTCTTGAGATTAATAATTTGTTCCCTATGAACGGTTCTGACAGTCATCCTCAAGATGACTTATACGGTCTTGGACACATGACAAGCAATTTCAAATGATAGCAACATTACTCACAAGATACTCTAGTATCTGATTGAACTGTGTATCTACCGCGTGGCTGGTGCTCAGCGCACCTACCATGTTAGCAGAGCAATGGACCATTAATACCATTCTAGCATTTTTTTTTGCTATTAACATCTCTCTTTATAATTTCATATTCACTCCAAATATGTGTGTTTAATTTAGCTCCATTAACAGTCTGAATTCCAAGTAATGTTTTTATACATTTTTTAGTAAGTTGTGCCTACATTGTTCTATGCCAAAAAATTGGTAGAATTATTTGGGCTGGAAGGGACCCTAATGATCATCTGGTTCTGTCACCCTTTCCATAGGGACAACTCCCACTAGACCAGGTTGTGCAAAGCCCCATCCAACCTAGTTCTGAACACTTCGAGGAATGGGGCATTCTGTTCCACTGCCTTATCACACTTACAGTAAATAATTTCTTCCTAATAGCTAATCTAAATCTATCCTTGTGTAGTTTAAAACCACTACTTCTTGTCCTACCACAACTCTCTTTAACAAAGAGTCCCTCTGCAGCTTTCACATGCAAGAAGGCATGCCCCATTAAAATACTGGAAGGCTGCTACAAGGTCTACCTGAATCCTCTTTATAAGCTAAATATCCTCAACTCTCTCAGACTGTCTTTATAAGAGAGGTGCTCCAGACCTCTGATCATCTCCATGGCCTCCTCCGGACTCACTCCAACAGGTCCAAGTTGTCCTTATGCTGGCTGCCCCAGAGCTAATACAGCACTGAAAGTAGGATCTCAAGAGAGCAGATTAGAGAAGATGAGTATCTTTCCTCAACCTGCTAGCCACACTTCTTTGGACGCACCCCAGAATACAGTTGGCTTTCTGGGCTGAAAGCACACCTTACCAGCTTCTGTTGAGTTTTTCCACCAACCAGCAACCTCAAGCCCTTCTTGGGGCTATTCTTTATCCACTCATCATCCAGCCTATATTCGTGCTTGGGACTACCCCATGACAGGTGCATGACGTTGCACTTGGCCTTGTGGAGCTTCAGGAGGTTCACATGGACCCTCAAACCCGTCAAGGTCTCTCTAGCAGCATTCCTTCCTTCCAGCATGTTGACCATATCACTCAGCTTCATGTCACTGGCAAACTCGCTGAGGATGCTGTCACTGACAAAAACGTTAAATAGCAGTCTTGATACCAACCCCTGAAGAAACACAATTTGTCACTAGCACTTTTTTTTTTTGGTCACTTTTGTCACATATTTTTCAGGGAAAAAAAAAGAATTCCATTCTAAACATCTGTACTCTGTTTTTCCCATACCCACATTTTTCCCTTAGATCTCCAGTTTAAAACTTCTTGGTTCCCTCCATCTAAATGGGCATACTGGGCAGTATGAATGAGATAGCTGAGATATGAGTGATAGCTGTAGAAGACTGGAGAATGTGGATAGATATTAGGGATATTAATGCACTTCAAGAATTGGTAGCATATCTTTTACACAGTGTAAGTTCTGTGATTAACGTACACAGGGAATGCTCATATCATGAAGAAAAAAAAACAACAAACCCAGACCAAAACAGTTAATTTGATAGCGGAGTGCCAATTACCTTTCTCGAACGAACTCTGCCATTTCTTTCTGCATTTGTTTCCCTTTAAGTTGCTTTTGAAGAAGAATCTCAAATCCTGATACCGTATTGTTCCCTTGTGAATCCTTCTTATCAGCCTGAAAGGAAAAAGGAATTTCAACCAAATGATCTATAGGAATCAAAGGCAGACACACAGTTCCCAGCAGCAACTCCAAGGAGTCTGACCACACTGAAGCAGTTTTTGAAGAGCCTTTTGCAGAAAGCATCACCTGTGACAAAGCTGCTTATCACACCCCACCTCAACCATTCTCAAAGAAATATTTAAACACTCTCTCATTCCTTCTCATTTCTCCCTTAAAAAAGAAGTTGTGCAGTTATCTTCAGCGAGCAAAAGGCTGCTGGGGCTATCTTCCCATTTGCTCTCAGCCCCTCACATCTGCTAAGCCCACAGGGCTGGCTCTGGCAATCATGAGCCCTGACGATACCCTACAAAGAAAAAAAAGACCCTGGGGCCATCACAATGGAATTTCTGCAGGAAAGGAGAAGATCCTGCTGCAGTCTTAAATGACCTATAATAGACTGTAACATTCTGTGCTGATCTATGCACAAGAAATACACAGCCAGTCCATAAAGCAGGGCAAAGCAGCAACTTTTTCAGTAGCTTAATGCAATCCATCCCACCTTTCACTTATTTTTCCTCCATGATCTTTTTAATCCCTTGCTTCACTGACTTCAACTTTGCTGCAAGGACCAACGCTGTCTCCTGTTTTCTATTCCATCTCTGCTTTTCTGTATTTCAGAATTACATTTCCCACTGTCTTCCAACAGGCCCAGAGAACACTCCAGAATGATTACTGTTTTGGCTGTCACAAATGTCACAGTAATCAAAGCATGAGACTTTAGAATGAATGTATGGCCATAACACCAGGCAGCAGGCAGCAGCATGTTACAAGCCTGAGACTGGAGGAGTATAGCGCACCGAAGAAGCCAGATCCTGGATTATAAGGCTGAATGACAAGAAATGGGAGAATAAATATCTGCAGAAGAAGGGCAGCTTTCAGTCAAGTTCCATCAAGGGAAAGATGTGAACTAAACCAATGTAAATGAAAAGAAAAAACTGAGGTGGTGTCTTCTGAAAGGCACATAAAAATATACCTATGAGCCATTTCACATTTTACTGTTTTTTGGGATCAGAAGCCTAGAAGAGATAGAAGAAATGCTATTGTTTTGGTAATGTGACCATTGGTAAACATGATACAGTATAATCTGCTGCATGTGCTTCACACAACACTGAGCACTCTCAAGGGGAAGTGCTGCTGCAGCTACAACTGAACTCTTCTTTATAGTGAAACTCTTTTTTTTTTTAAACACCTCACAGAATCACAGAATGATTTGAGTTGGAAAGGACCCTTAAAAGTCATCTAGTGCAACTTCCCTGCAATAAACAGGGACACTTTGTGCTAGATGAGGTTGCTCAGAACCTGGTCCAGCCTAATATGGAACAAGGACGCCCCACCGCTCTCTGGACTACCTGTGCCAATACCTCACCACCCTTGTAAAAACTTTCTTTCCTTACAGCTCTACATCTCCCCTCTTTTAGTTTGAGACAATTTCCCCTTTTCCTATCACAACATACACTGCTCAAAAGTCTGTCTCCTTTCTTTTAGCCCCTCTTTAGATACTGACAGGCTGCTCTCAGGTCTCCTCAGACCTTCTCTTCTCCAGGCTGAACAGCCCCAGATCTCTCAGCCTGTGTTTGTAGGGGAGGTGTTCCATTCCATCTCTGAGATCTGTGGCCCTTCTCCAGACATGATCCAACAGGTCCATATATCTCTCTTGTAGTGAGGACTCCACATCTGGATGCGGTACTCCAGGTGAGATCTCACAGTGCAATGCAGAGGGGCAGGATCACCTCCCTTGACTCGCAGGCCTGTATGGGAACTGCTGAGTCATACAGGCCTGAACCTCTGATCGATCACCTGAAGCGAGCACTGAGTCAGCATCTGAGTCAGTATCAGGAGCACGGTGAAGGCAATCCAGCTGTGCTGCAGGAAGGGTTGGAGCCTGGCTGCACCTCTCCCAGACCCATTTCAGAGCTGACTGCCAGTAGAGAAGGATCTCTTCTGGAGATCCACTCCACTGGAGTTTACCACGTGAGCCCAGGGTAGGGTGAGTGTCCTTCTTACTTACTCTAGTATAATAATTACTTTAGCCAAACTCCTGGATATACTGTATCATCTGCATATTCATTGATTGTACACAGGCCACAGTGACTTTGATGCAGTACAGAATACGGCTGGCTTTCTGGGCTGTGAGGGTACTCTGTTGGCTCATGTCCAGCTTGCCATTTTCAATAATTGGTCACCAGAAACACATGAAATTCATAACATTTCCACTGTTCAGGTAGTAATACCCTCCTCCCTCCCAAAAAATAGTTTTCCAGAGGAGGACCCTTTCTATCAGCTCCACACTTGAAGTACCAACTCCAGCTATCATAACAAACCTCAGTTTAATTTGATCTGATCTGACCTTAAAAGTGGAGCAAAGTAGAAGAGAGCACTGCCATGCTGAATGCCTACGGTGGTTTAAGACCAGTAGGAAGCTTAGTACCATCACGATTGTCTCTTGCTCTCCCCTCGCAGAAGAGCAGGGGAAGAAAACACACTGACAAAAGCTCATAACATTCTCTAACATGAGGCTGTTTCCAGTCTCTTCTCACAGAAGCCATCCCTGCAGCCCACCCCACCAAAACTTTGCCAGGTAACACAATACATCTAACCCTTTAAAAGATGAACTTATCATTTGGCCTCCAGAAAAAAACGATGAGAATAATCTTTACAATTTTGAAGAAAGACTGTAGATGTTAAATCTCTAGCTCACTTGTGCACTCCTAGCTGTTGTGCTCTAAGAAAGACTGAAATAATGTTCACTAATACGTTACTACTTCTGTATTCCTCTTCTGCTGCACAGCTGTTTCGCTGACGTATTTTGAGATGCGTAGTTTTTCCTACATCCCATCCATTTCCTGACAAAACTATGCTCCAACAGCTCGCACTGCCTTTCAGGACACTCTACTAATAGCTGTCCTCATCTGAGATGGATTAGAATGATCTTCACTGGTTTCTTCAGTCTCTCCTGCACTGCCCTAACACAACTGCAGCTCAGTCCAAATCCTTTTCCTTGTACCACAAAGCAAGCTTTTCATTCCTCTTTTTCAGAAGCTCAAGAGCTGCAATATGACATGTGGCTGTCTGCCTACTTACCCAGAAATAATCACAGTAGCTCCACTCTGAAGGTTTCAACAACTGCTGCTCTGGCATTACGTCAGGGTGGGGGAAAGTTACACAGTTTATCTGTAAAAGAAAAAAAAAAAGAAAAAAAAAAAGGCAGAAGATAGTTAGAAGGCAATGAAACTTAGTTGAGAAAAATGCAAATGAAAGATTACATATACACACTCCAATCAAAAAGAAACCAACAACACAGCAAGTGCGTGCTGGTGAAGAAACATTGGTGGTTGCATGGAAACAGCAGCTCAGTATTCCCAGAAAGCTCCTCTGAGCAAGCAGTAGCATCAGCTCAGAAGAAAATGAACTGTTTGTTTCACACAAGGTATGCTTGTCTGATTAAAAAGTACCACACACCAACTTCTATATCCCTAACAAAGCTGTGGTGAAATACGTGATGTCAACAAGCCCTGAATACAAGAAATACCACGAAGATCTAGAGCACTGAAAGCACTGCTATTGGCTTATCTCATTAGCAAATTTTGGTTTGCAGGATTACTTAAAAGGTCTCATTTTTTCAGTATACAGCACTCCAGTCAGTCAGAGACCTTTTCACATAAAGCTGATGATCCTGCAGAAATGGGAATGAAGTCTCTAAAATCAGCTAAACTTCAGTGCATAGAAGCCCCACAAATTTTTAAGATGGAACTCATCACACACTCACACAAAAATGTCCAAGTGCTCATTATGTTATCACAGAAGAAAATGCAGCACAGTGTAAGTGAAGGATGTGACAGCTACTGCAGAACACACTGCATATATATATATATATATATAATTCTGGGTGCAGCTAAGCCTGTCGGGGAAGCACCAGCATGAGTCAGACTGCTGTGACTACATACTGCTCTCATAAAACTCCTGCCAGGCAGGCGCACTAAAAGCAATCCGTCCCAGCACGCTAGCAGGTTCACTGGACAGTAATGGTACCTGTATATTAACCAAAGAATCAACAGAAATTAGGGATGGACAAGCATCACAACTGTAACTTTTTCTGAGGGAGGATTACTTAACATTCAAAGGAAAACCAAGGAATTGTGGGCAGGGCTATCACAGCTGCATATGCAGCCCTACATCTAGCAGTGATACGCTGTACATCTGCCCTTGGGCTTTTCAGAGTATCAGAAGGGACACAGCACACTGCTGTAAAGTGCTGACACAGGATAAATCCACAACGCCAGATCAATGCAGACAAAGCCTTTAGCTGATACAACACTGTTCCTGCAAGCCCACAGCAACTCTGCCACTGTTTGTCTGCACTAAAGTTTCAGTGGCTGTCCTGTATGTAATCCAAAAGGTTTGCTCCTCTTCCAGAAGGATTACTCTTTCTTTCCAGAGCTTGCCAGATCTATTTCAAAGCAAGCTCAGGACTTTTTCCCTGTGGTATCCATCTAGATCCTTTCTGAGCCATGTTTCTCCTGTCAGTTCTCCTTTCAGATCCCATGGGAACTGCAGCCACAGCCCCTGACAGGCCTAACGTTGTCAGCAGCCATTCTCTCTGGAACACAAGAGCTGTAGAAAACACTGCTCCCTCACACCTCCCCATCAGAAGCATCATGCATCAGGAAATCACAAAGGCAGCTCAATTCTGAGCTGGATGATGCAGCGAAGGACACCTGTGTGATGCCAGGCTGACCTCTGTCCCTGCAGTCTCTGCACTAACTCTGTCTGTGAGGGAGTTTTACTGAGGAAACCTTCTGCCTCAGCTAGTATTTTTCTCTCCCTTGTCAGCTCAATCATTTCAGAACAGCACTGCAAGCCTATTGCACCCTATTTTAGCGTTAGGTAGGTTGGGTTACCTTCACTCTTCCATTCAGGAACCACTAAGTCTGAAGGCCTGCAAGCTGTTTGCTTGATGCAAGATCGAGTCAAAGTCACTTGCACTGGTATCCTGATGTTCAAAAGCCCAGCCCATGGCATTAAATAGCCTTATCAACCCCATAAAGAGTGTCCTCATGGGACTGCTGATCTCATTAATCAAGTATCTGACAGTAAAGGTATAAAGTCTAAATCCAAACAACATGAAAGACAACAACTGTGCTGATTTCTTTTAAAAAAAAATAGACTTTTGAACCAATAGGGCATACAAAAACATGCAGAAGGGACTATTACAGCTTTTACTGCTGTATGTATATTAAATATATATTAAAGTACATATCTTAACTAATGACAGACTCACAGAACTTTAAGAGAAAACAAGGCATAATGACTCGCATTATGTTTGCACAGATGTCACTGGGGCAGCCCAGGTGATCATCAGCCTCATCATGGCAGGAAGTCCTCAAGCGGACTCTTCACTAATAAAAATAATGGCTGCTGTCAGCCAACAAAGCAACTTTAGTGAAAAGACACCAGCAAGGCGTGCTCCAAACATAAGCTAAGCAACGAGACAGGCGGAAAGCAGCCTGTCCTTGCAGCTGCCACAGAACACTGGTGGCATCACAAAACCTGTCTGAGAGGTCTGGGCACCTGGTGGATTGCCAAGGTGAGAGCCAAGCACACAGAAGCTGTGCTGTGACAAACATGGTGACAACAAAGCCAGGGGGGGACAAACAGAGAACAAGCAACCCCATTCAGTGCCTTTCTCGGACAAGTCTGTTTTGTATCAAATTAGATCAAAAATACTTTTGCCTGTGTACTGATCATGAGCAAAAGCAGCTGCAATCTTCACAGCCAAACACACCAGCTCATACTCCATGAACATGAAATAAAATAAGCTGTTTATTGTTGTTATCATTTTTATGTCTGAGATGCAAAAGGTTTACAGACAAAAAGTCACAGAGACATAGGTGAGTTTGCAGGATTTGCACAAGGGCAGCATGCACAAGACACTTTGTTGGCCAAAACATGCACATCCATTCCACAGACTTCAAAGTCCTCTTCATGCTTTGAAGTGGCTACCAGCAGCCTCTGGTAAATGAGACAATGCCAAACAACATGAATAAAACAAGAATAATTTGATGAAGGTTTAGATAATCAACTACATATTTATTACATAAGACGCTACATAAATAAGTGAGCAGAAAGTGGGTGAACTGCACTCTGTTGTGCTGAAGTGAAGCAACTACAGAGGGGCAACATACTTGCTCTTTTCTTCAATTTACACACACTCACAACATCTTAAGACAACACAACTTTGCCAACTTGCGTAACCTGCATTTGCTTTACAATCTCAGTACCTGAACACAAAATCTACAACAGCCAACTCAGGAAAGATCACTTGTCAAACAGGGCTGTTTGGATAAACAGACAAACTGGGAGGACAGCTGACACCTTTGTATAGCTTAGGCACAAATGAAGGCTTGGGCAGTTTTAACTCTACCCAGGCGTGGAAGCCCAGGAATGCCTAGGCTGTGTGTAGGTAACTTCAACATCACAGATTTGTACGTGGTGCGTTGGCAGTGATGTCTCAGCTGTAGCACAACAGGAGGGGAGAAAAGCCAACTGAAGCTCTGAATATTAGCAAAGAAAACTCATCCACTTGGTATTTAGAATGTCAGGTTCTGCCAGAAGTGTTTAGAAAGCTTCTTCATTCATGTTTCTGTAGAAATGTCTAGAGACAATTTGCTCAGCACGCACCAAAGCAGTGGATTTCTGATAGCTTCTGCCATGCTGTCAACCCTAGCGCAGAGCAGAGAACACTGCTGAATGGGCAGCCTCACACTGTATTAATTTCTTTATGTCAGATGCACAAAATGCTAAGCTACTGCATGCAGGCTGCCCCTCTTCCCATACACAGCACATGTTCATTTTGGTGTTCAATGTAAGCAATATAAACACCATCATTTTCCAAGTCATATCTTACCTTCATTAAGCACTAAAATATTCTTTAGAAAAAAATCTATGCTCAGAAACTACCATATCATCAGACATGCTCAGAAGGTTTCTTGCTCTTCAGGTGAAATACAGTTCAATTCTCCCTTGTACACAGTATTGCACTATACCTTCCCTCATCTACAGCTTCAGCTTCCACAGATAAAATTCCTGTCCAGAGGGACATCTCTTCAGAAATCAGACAACAAAAATCCATGCTAAAGCTGGTAAATGCACCTTGAAACTCACTGCAAAATCAGTGTGGACCACAGCACTGCACTTCTGCTTTCTTATGAGCAACAATAATTTGTGCAAGTGGCAGATTTGTAACAGCCTATCTTATAACCCATCAGGGTCTCCTTTCCAGGGAAAACAGATTCTTAGTGCTAGTAACACTCATTTACTGAGACACCATACCGTTCTTCCTGTGGGACACATACTCCAGCTTACACCTGCCTTCGGGACTGCCAGAAGAAAGAGGAAGTCCGTGCTCTTTGAAGTAGAGAAGGCACTTGCATTCCTTAGAAGACCATAACAAGGTCCTATTCCCCTGAGGAAAGCAGTGAAACAGAGCGCTGGGCTGCAGCTGCTGATCAGGTGTCACAACCCAATGTTTGCAGCTTCCCTATCAATGGGTTTCTCTTTGAATGGAGGTCTGATGGACTCGGAGACCCAAATTGATGACAAAAATCCTCTTTGCAAAAGGTTCTGCTTGAGTGCTGCTGCAACTCAAAGAAAGCCATTCAACAGCAAGCTAAGGACATGCCCTGCAGCCCTGTTAACCAGAGCATCCCAATGCCAGCTGGAGCAGCGCTGAACAAATAAAACCTCTGGGGAGGGGGAAGCAGAGAGGGAATTTACATTGCTTTACAGTTTACACTCCATCTGAGAATGTTATTTTTCATAATGCTTCCTTGACGCAGGCAGTGGCTTGAAGCAAGTGGCTGCTAAAATTAGCTTGGTTCTGCCTGTCTGGTGCATTGTGCTTGAAAGCTCTGGACTTCTGTTGGAGAAAGGCACACAGTGACCCTTACATAACATATCACACAACACTTCGACCGCTTTGCAGATGCTACCAGACAGCGCACAGGCCAGCAAATATGATATGGAAAAGCACCCCCAATGAGCAGCCCGTGTCCAGGCAGGTACAAAGCGACTTTTTCACAGACACAGGTGCTCTCATTTATGTACTGCTCTGTGCAGCACACACACACCGTGTCTGCACCCTCACTGTCTGCACCCTCAGGGCTACCCAAGTAGCCTGTTACCATCCTGCCCCACACCCGAAGCAGGCTGTGAATACCACAGGTAGAGCAGACACCTTTATTCCCTCTTTTTTACCACTGAAGTTTGTCTACCTTCTCATTTATCTTCATTATTTCCTATTCAATAGATCACAGCACGCCCAGGCACTTCCATTAATTCGTTTTGATTTCCTTCCCAATTTCAAACATCTGTCCTATACTGATGAGTCCAGAATTGTGAGCCATATTCCAGATGGAGTCACAATTCCTGCAGAATTCGTCAGTGTTTGTAAACCTCACACTGCAAACATCTTATCAACTACAGATAATTAATTAAAGCAAATTTAATGATCGCTTCATTCCTGTACCTACAATCTCTGCCTTTATCAGAAATCTTCAACTGGACATTCTAGCAAGGAAAAATATCTGATGCCTCTGAGCATCATTAAAGTGCTCCAAGTTCTCCCGCAAGGCTGTGACCCCATCCTTAAACAGTTTCTCATCCTTCACTGCTTCTCTGAGCGTCGGGACGGACCAGGGCCGGACAGCGACCCACAAAGGAGCGCGTTCGGTCAGGACCCGCAGCCAGCTCCTTTTTTGGGTACCTCCTCACCTGCTGCTCATCCCAGAACCCCAGAATCAAAGGGAGAAATCAGACAGGAATCGCACTCTGAGAACAGAACATCCCGAGCTGGAAGAGCCCCTGCAGGATCACCGAACCCGTCCCGGGGATGGAGCTCCATCCTTCGCAGCGGAGATCCCGCAGCCTTTCTGCGCCCCCCGACGCGGTGTTTAAACAGAGCAGAACTACTCTCGCCGCAGCAGCTCCCGCAGCGCCCCGTCCCGGGCGGTCAGCGCGCCCCGCGCCTCTCCGGAGCGCCGCACGGCCGGACTCACCGTCAGGCTGCTCTCCTTGCTCTGCCTCCGCGGCGCCGCCGGGGACCCCGGGGTCTGTGGAGAGAAGCGGATGGCATCATCGAGAGCGCGCTCGGAGCCCAGCATGGCGGGCACGGGCCGTGCCGGGGCTAGGCGGACCCCATGGCCCGGCGGCGCGGGGCGGAGCGGGAGGCGGCGTCGCCGGAGGCCAGGACCGCGCCCCCTCGCCCCTGCCGGCCGGGCCGGGCTGTCCGCCGTGTCCCGGGCCGGGCCCTCGGCGCGGCTACACCCCGCGCTCCTCTGAGCTGCGAGGTCGGCCGGCGCCCAGCGGGGCCGAGGCGGGATCGCGACCCGCAGCGCCGTGCGCGGGGCGGAGCCGCCCACCCCTTTTCAGGACCGCCATCGCGGCCCCGTGCCGTGCCCGGCGGCTGGGGGGGACGCGGGGCGGCGTGGAGGGAGCGCTCGCGAGTCATGCGGGGCTCTGTTGCAGCCCCTGAGCTGCAGCCCGAGAGCGGTGTGCAAAGGCTGCCTGCCGCTGTTCTGCCGCTCCGTTTGCGTCTGTTCATCGAAGCGGGCGGCACAGCGCTGCTGTCTAGGAAGTGGTAAACAAGGCCTGGCCCCGCGCCCGGCACGGCACGGCGCCGCTTTGTGCTCGGCTGTAGCTCTTTCCCCCTTGACCCGTTTCCGAGAGCTGTGGCTGAGCTTTCCCGAGCATTTGCCTGCGTGGTGGCTGCTGCGTAGGTCCTGCAGCAAGCCTGGAAGCGGCTCTCACGGGAGAACGCCATGCTGCTGGGAGCAGCTGCACAGACAGTCACAGCACTGACAGATATGGCCCAGGAATGGGGACTGGAGTTGGCCCAACTGAGCCAAAGTCTGGGGTCTGGAGAACGGCTGTAGAAAAATCCCCTTCCTGCAACCGGCGGCACATGGCAGACATTTTCCTCACTAAGGATTCTTCTGCAACAGCATGCACAGCTCCCAGGAAAAGCTGTATCTCATGTGGGCATGGACACAAGCTGCTCTCAGGGATAATGGCAGCAGTACCTTGTTGCAGATCCAATGCAGATTTGAGGCATGAATGAAGACCTGAGTTTGGGAAAACTGGTAATTAAAGAGTAATGGAAAGAAAGTGTGACGGAGGCCACTGAAGTGAATGAAGGAAGTCATGAACTCCTGTAGGCCCTGTGGCTGAGTCAGCTCAATGGAGCTGAGAAGTGCATGGAAACTGTGTATCTGTAAAGTGAATTTGAGTACACAGGTGACTTGAGTCTAAAAGATTTACCTGAGTCAGACACAGCACCATAAAAACAGTGAATATTAGAATTAAAGCTCTGGGGGAGTCAGTTATTCTGACTTGTTGGTAGATGGAAGCAGATCCTTCAGAAAATGGCATCTGTTGCACAAGGATTTAAACTGCTTATTGTAAAGGAAGTCAGAGTCTGCAAGTTGATCTGGGTTCTCTGAAGGAGATGCAGCAGGTGGGTGAACAGAGGTGTCCACCAATGGCTGTGGAGGTTATTAGAATGTTTTGAGTTTCTGCTTGTGCCCATAAGCTCCACCTCCAGCCTGTGTAAGGTACTCAGAGAGGAAACAGTGCAGGTCAGTTAAGTGAGAGATATTGGCCAGGGACGTGGAGCCTGAAATGACAGACTGTCATGGGAAATGCCATGAATCCATGGGGAAAGGGACCCAGAAATACAGGCTGAGGTGAAAGAGCACTGCTGGTGCAATGCACAGCACTGAGGGCTAGTGCCTAGAAGGGGTAAGAGAGATGGTAAAAGCGAAGTGGGCAGTTGGCAGACAACATAAAATTTAGACCAAGAAATAGGACTTCAGAGGAATACTGAGGCAGTGTAGTTCAGCATGGTAACTACACACAAAACACATATTTTGTAGGGAGTGTTCTAGTAGCTGCTTTGCAGAATAACCTAGCAGCTAGTAAAGAAATGAAACAAAACTGAGGTCCTGTGCTCTTTTTCTCAGCCAGCAGACTGGGAAGCATAACTCACCAGGAGTGCAACCCAGCAACACTGCTCAGCTGTTGCTATTTTGGCAGGGAACAAAGCATCTCACAGGAGGAGCTAGAAGAGGGCCCTGTACTGCATTTGCAGATCTGCAGAGAAGACTCTCCTGGAGATGAGAAGTGGTGCAATCAGCAGTGCAGAAATAATGAGTGAAAATGTAGCCAAACAGATGAGGGAGACGGTCAACAAGTCAGCATCTTGAATGCTAGCCTGAGGTGATGATGGGTGCGGCACAGGCTGTGAAAGGCACAGAGGAGGGCCTGTGAAAGAACACACTGACATGGATGAAGTAATTCAAAAAATAGCTTCGCTCAAATTCTTTGTGAATAATGTCTTTGGGAGGGAAGGCTGCAAGAAAATACAATAAGATAGGGGCACGGACGGATGTTCATGACTAGAGAGGACTGTGCTGGAGACAAGAGCGGAGTTCAGGCTGAAATGGCAGGACATTCTGCAGGGTTGTTAATGGTGACTGAAGTGGCCTCAGGGAATTTTCAGAAAGGAGCAATGGGACACAAAAATTCAAAGTATTTTGGTATTTTGTACTGTTTTACCATTAGAATACAAAGAGTGACTTTTCTAGATGCAATGAATCTGACTGATTTGACAGTTTCTTAAAGAAAATGCCTCTTGACATCCAACTCTAGCAGACTCCCAGTCTGCTTAAGCAGACATCCACATTTATGTCTGGATACCACTGCATGGACTTTTTTTCCCCAAAACTTACCTGGGGATCCCCACTGGCTTTTCGGAGATTCATGTGAGTGGAGTCCAGCTGGTGTACCGGGGTCCCAGAAATGTGATAGCCATTCACTGTAAGAACACGTAAGAAGTGAGCAGGCTTGCCGCAGTTGCAGATGTATAATTACACATTTTAAAAACAAGTCATGTAATTGATTGTCAGTGTGCATACTGTACTGAAACTCAGCCCATGGGGCCATTCTGCCCTCAGCATCCTGCAGCAGGCTTTTATCAGCAGTTATGATTGAATGAGTTGCAAGAGTCAAAAAAAAGAGGCTCCAAAATGCCACACAGTTCCTGCACCTGCAGTTTGGTAAAATGATGTGATTGAAGAAGCAGAGTATGTAAAAAGGAGGGGTTTCATGGAGATGGGCTGTTGATGTCAAGAAAGCATGCCTTGTAAGATGTTTATGGTTTATGTACACAGCTGTATGTTTGGAAAATAATGAGCTCAAATTAGGGATAAATGCAGCTATGTTACGTAGCCTTTGGTCACAACAAAACACAGTGTTCAAGCATACTTCCCACTCAGCTCAATGAAGACCTGCATCAGTTTGACCAAAAACTGGCTGAAGACATTCTCTAGACTGCATTGTTTACAGTCAGCTGCTAGTGCAGTTATTCTAGTGCAGTTTTACTCTTTGTGCAGCCCCTGCAGCTTTTTAGCTGATTCTGTTATGTGATTCCCCCAGCAGCAAACTGGACAGCCTTGCAACTACCATGTGTTAACAGAGTCCTCGTGCACACATGATGTGCAGGGTGCAGCTACAGGCAGCCCGCATTCCCTGCACCTGCTGCTCCCACAGCTGCAGGAAGCAGGAAGGAGAGGCAGATGTGCTTCTCGGAGCTGGCAGCCCCTGTTCGCTCTGTGCCCCAGGAAAGATGACCTTAGCCCTGAGCAGGTACATGGGGCAGGCCAAGAAACCCATCATTTGGAAACAAAGGGTGGTGGTATGGGTTGGAATGAAGACCCCCAACTACACTTGTTCTGCTGCAGGGCTATCTACGTGAAATACAAATCCCACCTATCACAGCATTTTTGTTGGCTTTGCTGGCTGGTAGAGAAGATGATTCATCCAATGCAGTGCTCAGGAATGGCAGTACACAGTACCTGCTGGGCTCTGCTGTGTCACAGGGCTCTTCGGGGTCCCAGGCACACTGCTTGGCCGCTCCCAGGTTGTCTCTGTTGGAGGAAAACAGCAGCATAAGGGTGACAGAGGCCAACAGCATCATGTGTCTGTGACACACAAATAGCTCTGACCCTCAGTGTTCTCCACTCCAGGGCTGCACCCCATGAGGAGGGTGTCTATGTCCCCTGGTGCTCCTCATCTCCTCTCTCATGCCTTTGCCTTCCCTTCTCAGCCCCACTCCTCAGCAGCTAGCTGAGATCAGTGGCAACCAGCATCACTGATTTCTCCAGTGCAGCTATACATCAGGGCCACTCAGAGGAAAACAGGGCCACAGCTGCACGTGAAAGATGCTCACTCCCTGTGAGCTGCTGCCACAACCCATGCAGGCAGCACTTCTAAGTAGATTACAGCAAGCCCAGACTGGGCCCTACCTGTGGCCTGTGTGGGCACAGCAGCTAGTCTGACAGAGCACAATCTGGGGACAGGGACTGCCTTTGTCCCTGCTCTCCATGTGGAACTCAGCTGGGACTCAAAGATGACAGTTCAGTGATAGGAACACAGACTACAACACTTTTTCCCCCTCAAAAAAGGCTACTGCCCCAGCAAATTCCACTTGGATCCCTTAACAAATGCACGTCACACCACTTTTAATACTCAAAAGACTGCTGCTGCTTTTTCCCTCTTTTCTCCTCTAGTTAGCCATTTTGCTCATTTTCTTAGCCAACAAAAAATTGTCCTTGGCTACACGCTAAACAAAGAGGATTTTATTGCAAAATGTCATTAAAGTTGCAAATGGCAGATAGTGGAATTACAACAGCAGCTGCTCTAAAAGTGTAGCTATAAAGCCCAAGCCAGCATTCCTATTTATAGAAGAAATATGTTGGTATCAAACAAAAATAAATACTGTTGGCTGCCAGGCAACATCAACTAAGAAAATAAGTCAAAGCATTGACCACTTCATTTCAACCCGCGATGCACAAAACCCATCCAGGAGCAATCTAATCTTACCAATGTCTGTAATCCTGCATCTGTCAGTATTCCGGATGGGAATGACAAGTGACAACATGCTTGCATTCGGGACATCAAGAAGAGGATACTAGATATCTGTAGATATCCGAGTACTGTGTCCAGTTTTGGGCCCCTCACTGAAAGAAAGATATTGAGGCCCTGGAACGTGTTCAAAGGAGGGCAACAAAGCTGGTGAGGGGTCTGGAACACAGGGCTGATGAGGAGAGGCTGAAGGAGCTGGGAATGTTCAGCCTGGAGAAGAGGAGCTCAGGGGGGACCTCACTGTTCTCTGTGACTGCCTGAAGGGAGGCTGTAGTGAGCTGGGGGTCGGCCTCTTCTCTCGTGTCGTTAGTGATAGGACCAGTGGGAATGGCTTCAAGCTACAGCAGGGGAGATTTAGGCTGAACATCAGGAAGTATTATTTTTCAGAAAGGGTGGTCAGGCACTGGAATGGATGCCCAGGAAGGTGGTGGAGTCACCGACCCTGGGGGTGTTCAAGGAAAGACTGGATGTTGTGTTGAGGGACATGGTTTAGTGGGAGCTATTGGTGATAGGTGAACGGTTGGACTGGATGAGCTTTGAGGTCTTTTCCAACCTTGGTGATTCTATGATTCTATGATATGATAAAGCCAGAGAACTGCTATCCACTCTTGGTCTCACAAGCTAAGTCATATGAGGTTGTGACGAGGAAACATCACTGGGATGGAGAAATAGCATTGGTGGACAAAGAAAGGGCAACTGATGTCATCTATCTGGATTTGTGCAAGGCCTTTAACAAAGTCATAGAATCACAGAATGGTTTGGGTTGGAAGGGACCTTTAAGATCATCTAGTTCCAACTCCTTTGCTATAAGCATTTACTTAAGTGTTGCTTTAGGCTCATCATTTCAGAAAAAGGGATCCCAAATTCTTCATTTCAGGAACTGCAGACCCCAGAAGAGGGAAGGTGCTGCACTCCCAAACCTATGCTGCTCACATCCCTGAAGATACACATTCTTCTGCTTGCTTTGCCCCTCTCTTCTTATTTTGCCTGCAAATCAAAATATTTTGACTATTTTTTTCTTTTGCACATGGAAAGCCTGGTGGACTGTAGCTTTGATGAATCACTGAATTTAAATTATGCTTAGATTTTTGTGAATTTGGTAGCAAATTAATGAATTCCACTCTTGACCAATGAGGCAGGATTGGAATGTATTAACTAAACAGAAGGAAAATCAAGTGATGTAAGTTGTCTTTTCTGAGTCAGCTTGTCTTAAAACACGCCTGTGTGTGGTTAAATAGGTAAAATCTGATTTATGTTTACTGTATACTAAAAGCGAACAGTAGAATATGCTACTCACATTTTTAGTAATTTTTTTTCTAATATAAGTAGCTCTTTATTGAATATTGTAAATGAGTTGACTTGAAGAAAAGTTCTTGGAGGTTTAGGAGCAACTCTGTACAGAGGGATTGTGATGTCCACTCAATGCCAACATGCGATCCAGAAGGTAATATGTTTTTATCATAACTGACTTGGACATTAGCAGTAAGAAATTACTTCAGTTACTTTCATATATATTTTATGCAAGCGTAGCTTTAGCATTTTTGAGACTGTACAGAGAAATGGACTTAAACCTAACAAATAAATTTGAAACATAACTAGTTGTTCAAAATTTCCCAGCTGTTTCTCTGCTTTGCCTGCTGGTTGTTGTGGAGCTGGTCTTCTGCCATACAAAAACTCCAGATATATAACCTGAAGGCAGAGATTTTGTACATACAAGCCCATTGCTCAGCATAGTTGTGAATGTGATCCAAAGCACCCAGCGATTTTCAAAATACAGAACTTAAGTTGACTGTAGAGCAATGCATATTGAAAAAGAAAAAAAAAAAAGCAATAAAATAGAATCGTTTTATTGGACAGGAAATGAAAAGAACAAGAAGAATGTTTTAAACCTCTCTTGTTTTCAATGCTGAGATGAAAGAAAATCCCTTTCTGTGCACACATTAATAGTGATATTGCAGATGCACAAGAGCAAGTAGAATGATCCTAACCCAGGCCTGTATTGCTGTGCCGCCACCTACTGCAAGCACAGCTATCACATTTGCCAAGATGAAACTGCAACATTATGAATTTCTTGGCAGTTCAGTCATTATTAGAAGTGAACATGTGTAGGGAAAAATGATGTTTTTCCACAACCACAAAGAGAAGACTTGGTGAGAGATAACATCCTGTCTAATACAGCCAAGACATCTGCTTAAACCAGAGTATGAAATACAGATTTGATCCTGGAAAATCTGAAGACTAGCTGTGATCCTGTGGTAAAACAATGGGCTTTCCTTTTAGGAATATATTCAGTATCAGTCAGTATTTTATATCCCATCCAATCTTCCAACAAGATGACAGCAACAAGCTAAAACCTTTTACTCTATGAGACTGTAATGTAGTACTGGCAGATGAAAACTGACAAGTTCTATTCTCCTTTATCAGTCACCTGATAATTATTCTGTTTAGTCAGAGTGGAAAAAATAACTGCTAGTTTCTTTGTCACTCTCTGGACTGTGAAGGAGTTCTGTGAACAGAAAGAAGTCTTACAGGCCTGAGATGGAGGCATGGGAGATATTTGTAAATTAATTACTAAAAGCAAGGCAGTAGAAAGCCATTTACTCAAAGTGAAATCAGAGAATTACAGAAGTTGGAAGGGACCTTACAGCCTTCCAGTGCCAGCTCCTGCCATGGGCTGGCAGCCACTCACTAGCTCAGACTGCCCAGGGCTCCATTCAGCCTGGCCTTGAACACTTGCAGGGATGTGATACTCACACTTCTCTGGGCAGCGGTGCCAGGGCCTCACTGTTTCTGGGTGAGGAATTTCCTCTTCACATCGAACTCAATCTCCCCTTTAACTTCTAGGTCAAAGCCATTACCCCATGTCCTATCACTACACTCCCTGGAGTCCCTCTCTCGCTTTCTTGTAGGCCAATTCTAAGTAATGAAAGGCCATCATAAGGTCTTCCTAGAACTCTCTCTTATTTTTTCCCCTTTTAAAAATGGCTGTTATGCTTCCTCTTATCTAGTCAGTGGGAACTTCACTGGACAGCTGATCCCTGAACTGGACCAAATCTGCTCTCCTAAAGCCCAGGGTAGTAAGCTTGCTGTGTGCTCGCTCTCTTTGCTGCCCTAAGGATGTTAAACTGCTTCATGATCACTGCAACCAAGGCTGGCCTTGAGCTTCACATTCTGCATCAACTTCTCCATTTGATGAGAATGAGGTCCAGCAGAGCACCTCCTTGCTGGTTTGTCTGTCTCTTCGAGAAGCAAGTTACCATCAACGCATTCGAAGAATGTCCTGAATTGCTTATGCCCTGCTATGTTGCCTTTCTGGCAAGGCTTGCTGCCTGTTTGTGGCTCCTTATAGTCCAAAACTTGGTTGGACCTGTGAGTCAGAGGGAGTGTAAACACGCCTGCTCTGAAAACAGGTTTTCTTTAACTCTACAGCACCGCATTCGACACTCCAAACCTCCAGGCTGCCTGGCACTGCCACGCTTCACCTGGCTTTGATTGGAGGCCACCTCACCAAGCAGAAGGATACAGTGCTGTCAGTGCTCCTGCATCTTCGCCTTTCTTGCTAAGATATTCCTCTCATTTGTGATGAGTCAGAAAAGGCTTAAGGATGCTTCACTCCTTGATATTGTAAGTGGGGAAAACAGCCCTAAGGAAAGGCAGAGGAAACGTGTATGTTTGTGTGTGAAACGAGGGGAAATGATTTGCAATGCCCTAAGACTAGGGTAAAACATTAAATACTTTAGAAGCAGAAGGAATAGGTGAATTATAGTATAATGAAAATATTTTTCTTCTGTTCCATAGAGGACGTGTAGCACAAGGAGATTTCATTTAGTTTGAATTAGGAGGTCTGACCAGTTCACAGAGACAGTGCACAGTTGGATTCTCGCTCTCCCTTTCTGATCTCCCAGTTCATCACAGCTGCTGTTTCTTCTTTGTGCTCTAACATCTTGACCCACTGAGCCTGCAGTACATGGCTGTGGTAACAACAGCTTAAAGGGCACAACCT